GAAACAGTTAAAGCTCAGTGGCATAGCACATGCTTGGAGAGAAGAGGTAGGTGGATTACTGCAAACCAAAATGGGTTACAAGATTGTTAGGGAACACTAGAAAGGATAAAGCAGGAAACCTAAGGAGGCAGCACAGCCTAGTTCCATCAGTCTCTCTGTCTTCAGACTAAACTTTTCCATGTAGGCAGGCATTGTTTAGGTGAGGAAGGAAGGACTTTTGAGCCCCTGCCCGCAGATGGTATGAGACCTCCATGAAGCAAAGACCAGTAGAGGCAGGTATTTGTAGGTTTTGTGCTCACTTCTTCAGTGTAAACACCAGACGAGAGATAGCATTCTCTGTAGAGTGGCGGTCATGGAGCAACAGCTGCAGACCACAGAATGTGAAGGAAGTCTCAGGAATTATTAAGCACACTCTGCTCTTTGTCCTTTATTGTAAGAACCATAAATACTTGAACATTAATATCATGGCAGTTGGTATACAATCATAAATTATTAAATGTGTATCTAACAATTAATCTAGGGATTGTAAAAATACCTGTCAGGAATACTTCTTGAGGACCAGAGAAATGGCTCAGTGAGTCAGTCACCAAGCCTGACTCCTGATCACCAGGACGCACATGATGAAAGGAGAGAACTGTCTCCCATAAGTGTTCCTCTGAACTCCATGCAGGCTCTGTTGTCCATATATGTCCACACACATACATATTTGCACATACACAAATAAATAAAAACTAAAGATTTACATTTAAAATATGTGGTTCATTCTTTCAAAGGGGAAATTACTTCACACAATTCAGGCGTTTTTTTTTTTTGAAGATCAAAGTTTATTTACTACCTGCATACAAAAACATATTGCACATCAAACAACCAAGATCAAAAAAGGGGGAAAAAGGAAAAAAGCAGGGAGGGAGAAGATGTGAAAGATACTCTACTAAAGACTAAACATGTAGTTTTTACAGAATAAACCCTCTGGAAATTTTATATAACAAATAAATGATGGAAAATATTCACTGTGCTAAGCAAAATATAATATTAAAAAATTCATCCACAAGAATAAGCAACATATACTATTAGTCCTACAACATGCATTCTGCTACCTCTTTATGTCTTATTACTGATTTATAAGATATTTATTAATAGGACAATTTAATATAGACTCTGAAATGGATCATTCTCAACCAACACATCCAAATTTCTAGAGGAGCCAACAAATTTCTTCTTTAGGACAGGGTTGGAAAGATGATATAAAATTAACCTACATTTCAGAACAATTTTATGTTTTACCAACAAAAGTGTCCACTGCATAAAATATAGACAGGAATGATATTTCATTATAAACAAAGCATAGTTGAGTATGTGCAGGCAGGCAGTGGCTAGAGAGTTGGGATGGCACTTCCTACTGCTGATTTATCCAAATAGAAGGACCATTTTCATTAGCAACATTTCTAGAGTGCATGGGGCATACTGCTCCAGGTTGGAGGCTACCATATTTTCCCACAAAGGGTGTACAAAGAATGTCATAGTCAGACATTGGGGATGGGGGGTCATGAAAAACTGTCCAGTGATTATGACATGGCCATGACTTTAATAAGTTCAAAGCACCTGTGGTTGCCAACATAGGATTTTCACACAAGACTGTGGCCATATACATTCGGTCACATGGAGTACAATTAATAAAAACTCAGAGACAGATACTGAGGTTCAACCGGATGATCTGAAAAGCAAAGACCAGTCCTGGCTCTTACCTTGACATCAGTTTGAAATAGCGAACCTGCCTCCAGAAATCTCAGAATGACACTATGTCTGAAAGCTGTTCCCTCCCATTTTATAACCCTCTCTAGTTCTGAGATTAAAGGCCTGCACCACTGGGACTTAAGGCCTGCACCACTTGGTCTATGGCAACTAGTGTGGTTACTGGATTTAAAGGTGTATGCCACCATTACCTGGTCTGTAAGACTGACCAGTGGGCTGTTTTATTCTCGGATATTCAGAAAAGCTTTCTTTGTTAAAACACAATTGGAGTTCTATTACAATCACAGGTAGAGGAGGGGATCATAGAGCCAACCCTGCCCAGAAAACCTATTGGTTCTTGAGAGCTGCTGGAGAGAAAGTCTTTGGTCCTTCAGCCTCTGCTGAATTATTCATGCTCCACTGGCTGCCTTCCACTTCTTACTCACACAAGTGACCCTGCTTAAACGCAATAAGTCACAGAGCAGAAACAAAAATGAAAAATGACATTTTCATTACAAAAGTGGGGTGAAGTAGGGTGTGAGGTGAGAAGTAGGGTGTGGGGTGAAAAGAAGACAAGAAGGAGTGGTAGAAGGAGGAATATGATAAGAACATATATAAATGTGTAAAATTGTCAATGAATAAAATTTTAATGTATATGAAATTAAAAAAAGAAATTGATTTTTAAGTAGGCTCTTACACGACTAACTTCTCTGTGTCTTTCTTTAGACAGAGCACAACGTCATTACCCTGGGGACTATTGCACTGTATGTAGTTAATCTGAAACTAGGAAACTGATTATTAGGCACTGTGAGTGAAGTTGGTAGCAGTGAGAACAGAAGCGTAGATGGTGGTCACACACAAGTGAATCTCACTCATTTGTACTAATATAATGAACATATGTTAATATTTTCAAAATAAAAATAGCACATATGAAAGATGAAGGATAGAGAGAACATACTACTGCAGACATGACAGATGTGTGAGTGACTCTTAAGTGACAGACAGCACTGAGCTCTGCCTGTGTAGCAGTTCCTATACAGAGGGATGGGGTTTGTGGAGAAGATTCTAGGAAGCTTGGCTCTGCTGAGCCTGAAAACAAGGCTGCTTTTGTCTCACTTCAGGTTGGACTCAGAGCAAGGTCATTGCTGCCTCTGAGAGTGACAGTTTTCTCCTAAGAAGAGTTCATCATAACAAGCCCCAGATGCAAAATGGGATGCCAAGCATAGTACAATGGGTTATAGAGGTAATTTCTGACTCAGGTCAAGACCATTGGGACTGTTCGGACTGAGTAACTTCTGAATCCTTGGCCTTTCTATCAGGAACCAGTCATCTTTGGACATCCTCAAGGCCAAGGCCTTAGTAATCACAATGTGTCCCAACTGTCACTATTCTAGGACACTCAAACACTGTGAAAGTGAAGATACCTGTGGTTTTCCTTAGCTGTTGAGAAATTTTATTAATACTTAGTAGTTAAAAGAAAGGATACTGACATAGTCATGTGTCAAGAAACATGCTACAAAGAGGACATTTAAACTTTTAAGAAACAGAAAAACTCATTTTTTTGGCCCTTAAATTCTACAAGAGTCTCAAGCATTCAAGATACAAGCAGTTTTGGGTTATCTAATGCTAACGGGTTTTACTGGTCTAGAGAAAACACCATCTGGTTTCCTAGCATTTAGATACATTTCAGAGAACTTCAGATCCACCTTCACTTTCAGCCATGTCTCCTCTCCCCACTCCCAGCACACACAGATGTCTCTTATTTCTCTCACTCGCTTAATGTAGTTTTCCCTCTCTCTTTAACAGTCTAGTTTAGAGAAGCATTGGTTTCATCCATCTCTTGTCCCTCTGTTTTCTGAGCTTGTTTCCTCTCACAGTTTTATCCTCTTTCCTCTCACTATCTTCCTCCTTCCTCCATCCTACTTCTATGCCATGCATGTCATATACACATATATCATACTAAATATCATATATGAGGGGAAACATAAGATATTTGTCTTATTTATTTGAACACAATAAGCTACAATTCCTTTCATTTCCCTAAAACCCTGCTATGTGTGTGCACACCTCCTTTACCACTCAGCTGTTGGAGAACATCTTGGTAGCTTCCATAACTTGACTGCTGTGACTAGTACATCAATAAACATGGGTGTGCAAAGGTGCTCTGTGGTATGCTTCTTAGAATTCTTCAAGTGTATTGTTATTTAGAGTAAATGAAGGACTGGGAAATGAATGCAACGAAGGAAGATGAAAAAGAAAGGGAAAATTTAGATGGAAACTCAAATTTTTTAAAATGGAAAGAAAAAAATGTTATGGAGGGGAAAAGAGCAAGAGATAAGAAGTGTGATGACTCTGTAATGAAAATATTTGTACACAGAACCAGATGACTGCAAGATGGAGAAAAAAAAGTCATTTAAAATTTACAGTAAAGAAAATCTAGTAGCATAGTAACAAGAGGAGACAAATCGTGGTTTGGGGTGCAAGAAACAAAATATAGGGACAGAGTATTATACTGCCTTCAAAACTTTTTTGATGACTTTTGTCTTTCCTTTGATTTACAGTGGTGTTGACACTTTAAGCATGGACACCTTAAGACAACTCAGTGTACTGTTTTTATCTTAATATTGTGTGTATGTGTGTGCCTTTGTGTGCGAGTGTGTGTGTGTGTGTGTGTGTGTGTGTGTAGGTAAGCATGTTTGTATGTATGTATATGATTAGGAACAAGAGATCATCCAGTCAAATTTTGCTTAGTGATCCTGTTATTTTAATGAATTACTAAATTTATTTGTGGTAAGAATACTATTTGTGAGGAGATGGTATTATCTATGCTAAAAGTTTTTGCATTTCACAAATGTACATGTGGCAGCTATCTTCATTATTACTTTTTTGTTCTTTAATTCCAAGTTCTAGGAAAGGAGTTTGGTTTACAGAATTCAGAATTGTATAAACCTGGGCTCTGTCTCAGAGTTCTTACACTCTGTGATGAGTTAGCATGAGTAATTAAATCCTCTGTGACTTTAGCGTTCAAAATAAATGAACCCAAAATAATATCATTTGAGGCATCTTTTTCCTATGCTTCTCAAACTGGCTCCCAAACATGGGATACAAGTTATTGCTTCAAATCTAACCACCCATCCCTACTATCAGCAGGTTCTTAGCTCTCTTTCAGCTGGAAAATTCTGAGAAATCTGATAACATTTATCTGTCAGCGAACACTCTCTCTGAATTCTGCCAGTCACCCATGGGTGTTTTTAGTTTCATTTTTCTCCTTTATAAATGCCTTTACTAACATACCTCTTGTTCATTGCCTTAGCAGAAAGTATTTGCTAAAGCTCTGTACTGCCCAGGAAATTGGAGGTACAAACTCCATGTGCAAGAGGGGATAAATCAGTGGATCCAGATTCAGGACTGAGGAAACCTAGTGCTCTTAATTCCCCCCTCAAAGGCTTTCTTCTGAAAACAAGGATTCCTGCTCCAGGTGAGTCAGCTGACCAGCATGGGAAGGTTTTCAGGATACTGCTTTTTTCCCGTGAAACAAACTCTCCATGGGAGGATGCTGCACTCTGGATGTGGGTCAGCAGTGCACTTATAATCCAGGGTTTGTGGGGAGGAGGGAAGGTGTCCCTGCAGCGCCCCCATTTCCACTCTGCTCAATAGGCTCCAGCAAGTGGAGCCCAGAGAGGGTTGCAGGGCTTCAGGGTTCATTGTTCTTCACCTGGATGCTTCTTAAATAATCTCTGTGTAAAGTTTCTCATACATCTCATACTCATTGTTGCCGGTTAGCCCACCTCTTAAAAAATGAAGCTAGGCAACTTGGAGCATGGAAAACAGACCCTGGACACATTGACAATGCAGGAGATTGTGAACTTTTCTGCAGACACTTTTCCTGGGCTAATATTATTGGTTTCTTTCCAGAAGTCATAAGTGCTCTAGCGAACACAAACCACTCCTTTTCTTAGCTTTCTTGATAATAGCCCTTCTGACTAGATGAGAGAGAATTTCAAAGTTGGTTGAATGTGCATTTCTCTGAAGATTAAAGATGTTGAACACTTTCAAAATCTTTTTTGGTCATTTGTTCTTCCTATGAGAATTAACTGTTATGTTCATTGACCCAATTACAGTGCTTTTTTGTTTATTTTTTAACAGTTTTTATTTTTTGCATAACACATAAGAGCAGATAGCAAAGATGTTTTTCCCATTTTGTAGGCTGTGTGTTAACTCTATTACTAATCTTTACCAAAGGGCAGAAGTGTTTAAGTCTTGGGTACTCTCATGTGAAATGCTTCGAGTCAATACACACGCTAGTGGGATTTTATTCAGAAGTGTCCTGCCTATTCTGAAGTGGTTCCCCAATGAGGTTTTTTTTTTTTTTTTTAACAAACTCAGCATTTCTCATTTTAAAGATCAAGTTTTGTTACTTTTATACTTATGTATATGAGTGTGCATGTGCATGTGCATGAGTGTGTGTGTGTGTGTGTGTGTGTGTGTGTGTGTGTATGTGTGCGCGCGTACACGTACATATGCCCGAAGAAGCTAGAAGAGGGTTTTGGATCTCCAGGAGTGTACACATAAATGTGAGTTGCCCTATATGAATGCTGTGGACTGAACTCCCAACTCTGGAAGAGTAACAAGTATTCTTAACCCTTGGGCCAGCTTTACCGCAGCCAGAATTTGGTTTTGGTTGTTTTATTTTGTTTTGGCTAGTCATTCAATCTGAATCTTTTAACTTGTAGACTAAGGTCCTTTGCTGTTAATGTCATAGTTAAGAAGGGTTTTTGCTGTTATTCATTATCTTGTTTGCTGCCCCAGATTGTGGGCCTTTTTTCCTTTCCATAGTCATGGTGATCACAGATTAGCAGAAATGGGTAAAATCAAGATATGCGAGTTAGCCAATAGGAGGCTAGAGCTAGTGACCAAGCAGTGTTTTAATTAATACAGTTTCTGTGTGGTTATCTTGGGTGTAAACTAGCTGGGTGGCCAGGACGAACAAAGGGACACTCTCTCCAACAACATCATAGTATCGGGTATGCAGGGTCACACATGATTAATTCTTTGCGACTTACTTGTCTTTTGTTCATCTCTTTTGTCATGAAATGTATTCCTTCCTGTGTGCTCTTAGTGAAACTGTTTCTGCTCTTCCTCCTCCTCGTCTCTTATTCTTCTGTGATCATGCTCTTTTTAGAACTTTCAGCTCTTCTAGCTTAGTTTCATAAAGTTATGGAACTTGTGTTTGTCTTGACATGTTTCTATTTTAGTGGAAATATTTATGACTGTAGCACTTTGGCTGTTCATTATTTACTTTCACGGCATCCTTTTCATGCTTCCTTGGATTTGGGAATTGCTTACAGACCTGATGTCCTTCTGATGGCTCCTTCTCTTGTACCAGTTGGAAGGTTTTCCCTGGTTTGTTGCTTTTCTGTTTTCAATTTTAAGATTTATATGGATCTCTAGTAACCTGTATTCCCTTATGTTTATATTGAGGGCAAACGTCAGCAGCAGAAATAGCTGTGATAATTTGCTTGGCATCCTAGTGTTCCTTGCAGGAAGGGATACTATGTTCACTATGCTCTTGTTGACATGGATTTAAGAGAGCAGTGTGGTACCCTGATTGGGGAAAATGTAATATATTACAGTAATGAAGGGAACAATGACTGGGATAATGAATTAGAGTAAATAGAGTAAGAATGCCTAAAAAGCAATTGGTTTTGCATATAAAAAGCAGAGAGAAAGTGTTCATCATGCATGAAGAGCAGTGAGAAAGGTTCTTCATCACATATGAGAAAAAAATGGAAGATGCAAACCATTTACCAAGACACAAGTTACAACACATGCACACTTGTAACATGAAGGGCCGGCTTGTTGGGGTTTCTATCCCGCCTGGTACCCCACAGCCAGTAAGTTCCAAAGAAAATCACACGGAGTCTACATTAGGTTATAAACTGATTGGCCAATTAGGTCAGGCTACTTATTAGCTCTTATAACTTATGTTACCCCATTATCCTTATCTACGTTAGCCACAGGGCTCAGTACCTTTCTCAGCTAGGCAGGTTACATCCTGCCTCTTCGGTGACCTGTGCAGGAATGGCAAAGGGAGCTTCCTCCTCCCTAGCCTTCTCCTATTCCCATTGCCCCACCTCTGCTTCCTGTCTGGTTGACCCGCCTATAATTCCTGCCTGGTCAATCAGCGTTTTATTAAAATACATGATTGACAGAATACAGACAATTCTCCCACACACACTGAGGGGGAGAAGGTAATCAATTTACAAATTTTTCCAAAGAAATATATTATATATCCTTAATATCTGTATATGTGGATATAAAATTTAAAATGTAATAACTAATTAGAGATTAAAAAGATACACCACAAATGAGTAATGGAACAAAATAGAATGCACTAGGTTCTTAGTCAAGGCTTCTGGTTGTAGTATAGCTCATCCCCATGTTTGCTTTAGTCTGACTGTCAAGATTCTACTGTAGCAAGTTCCATCACAAATTTCCTGTGACCCATGTAGCTGGCCCTGCCATGACTTGGGTAGAAGATATTGAAGATCTTTTAGCTCTGGGCATCTTTACTACACTGGACTTCTTTGCCATACTTATGCTTCTAATTCCACTATCTGTATTGCTTGAAATCTGCTGCTCTAATCCAACCCATCCAGGGTCCGCAGTCTGGAGTGGGATTCTAGGAAATCCTTTCCCAGCCTTGAGTTGCTTCCTCCACCCTGTGTCTAAGAGTTTATTGCTCTTAATGAGATGTCACACAAGTTTCTAGGATCAGCCTACATTTTTCTGGGGCCTGAAACACATCTTTAGCTGGGGTCAACTTCCAAGGCAAAAGTCAGGTATACAGCAGTCCTTCTGGTCCAAGGATCTCTCCCATCTCCTCTCAGAATCTCCAGGACAGACAGTCTAGTAGTTTTAAATTAAAGCAGGTAACCTTTAGGACAGCCATAAGTGTCTCTAGAACATTTAAAAATGTGCAAAGAACAAGTTTCAAGTATTGAGCATTTTGGTTCATGCAATGTTTAAGAATGTTTTTGAAATTAAAATATAATTGTATCTTTTTCCCTTCCCTCCCTTACTCTCTTCTATCCAACAACCTCTCTAATGAATTATCCTTGGTTTCTCTCAAATCCACGGCCTGTTTTTCTTTAATCCTTGATACACACACACACACACACACACACACACACACACAGGCACGCAACACACATTCCTAAATCTGTAAACACGATCTGCTCCATTTTTATAATGTCACTTGCATGTATATGATTTCAGGACTGACCTCTTGGTATTGGATAAACAACTGAGCAGTTCCTGCATGGGGAAGACTATTTATCCCAAGTTCATCACATTTTAGTTGTCCACAATGCTTTGTTTAAGGTTTAGGCCCCATGAGATTTTCCTCTTCGATGTTGGATATTGGTGTACTTCTTCCAACCTTGTTTAAGAGGGCAAGTTGTTGCGATTTTGTAGCTTCCCTGTCATTCTAGGAGCCTCAATGTCACACTAGACTTTCTGGTTTTCTGAATCTTAAATCTTTTCACCGCCTTTCCCCAGTCCATGATGTTCCCTGACCTTAGGTACAGGAGTTAGGCTGTAGATGTATCAACTGGGCCTAGTACCAGACAATCACTTGTTCTTGGGGCTTTGATTCGTTGCTTTTTTAAGTGAATTCTATGGGATGAGGGATGAGAGTTGCATTTTCTATGGTATAAAGATAAATATTTAAAATGCAGTTAAGAATGATGTTGGTTTAGTGAAGTGGCAGTAGTAGGGTCTCCTCTAAGATCCATGGCCTCATTAGCATGAGGTACTTGGATAGGTTCCCAGGAAAGGCATGCATGACACTATTGCACCCTTAGGTCCATGTTGTTGAGTTGAGTTCTTCTAACCAACACAGAACGTTTTCGTGCTTTATCATTTCCTAGAAACATATGTGTATTGTGCAAATGGCCTCAGAAATCAACATGCCAGGCCCAGTGTGTCTCATTGAGAATTCTGATCAGCAGTTGGTGGCCAACCAGGAAGCACTGGACATCCTGTCTGCTATCAAGCAGCCTATGGTGGTGGTAGCAATTGTTGGTCTTTACCGCACAGGAAAATCCTACCTGATGAACAAACTGGCTGGAAAGCAGAAAGGTGAGTGACATCATCAAAGCTCCAATGAGTCCTCTTGGCCCCTCCCACTCCCACTCTCAGAATTCAACAAGCAGAGGGAAGGAGAAACAGTCAGAGACCTGGGTGATGTGAGATGATTTGTCCTCATCAGCGGGCTTGTTCTTTTCTGAATTAATCTTCTCACTGGTTCCTCCCACACTCCCATTAGTTCATCATTTAAAGATAAAAGCATGTTTTAATAGTAGAAATAATATATTCATAGAGAAAGTCAACTTATGATGAATTATAAAATATTTATTACAGTGTTTATCTAGGAAAATTAAGTGTCCACTGATGTCAAAGGTACGAATGAATGGCTGATTAGCATTGGATGTTCTGTCCTCCCTTTTTCTGGGTTTGTATTTAAAAGCACTACTTATACCTTGTTGGGCTTCTCTAATGATAACTATGTTAACTGGGTTCCTGTTAGTGATAAATATGCTAATTTCAATGAGATTTCATGAAGCACGTGCTGTTTATCCCCCCATTTCATTCCCCACTCTACAGGCTTCTCTCTGGGCTCCACAGTGCAGTCTCACACCAAGGGGATCTGGATGTGGTGTGTGCCTCATCCTCAAAAGGCAGACCACACCCTAGTTCTGCTGGATACTGAGGGCTTGAGAGACGTAGAAAAGGTACAATATAGTTTTTCAAATTTTAATCATGTTGTGTCAGTAGCTCACCATGTGTTCTTCACTCCCAATCTTTCATTCATGTCCCTGCTGAATCTATTTGAATATCATTCTTTAACTCACCTGACACAGGATCCAAGAGTAGACACTAAAGTCAACTGATTAGTAGCCAGCCAGTCTTCTAATATTTTTTAGCATTTTTCTTTTACACCATCTCACAAAGTTTTGGTGAGACTCTTAATGATGTAATTAAACTTGGCTATATATTTCCTGAACATGCCCGATTATTAAGTGTGAGCCATTGGAAATGCTAAGAATTATAATTCCTATAGAGCATTATCAGTGAGAGAAAGCAAAATTTAGGTAGCACTCTATTTCTGTGAAGAAACACCATAAACAGGGTTACAATTATCTTTTAAAAAAGGCATTTAACTATGGGCTTCTTACAGTTTCTGAGTCCTTTACCACCATGGCAGGGACCAAGGTAGCAGAATGCCAGGCATGGTACTAGAATTTGATCCCTAGGTAGCAGGGAGAAAGAAAGAGACAGAGAGAGTAGTCTTGCTGTGGGCTTCTGAAACCTCAAATCCCATCCCAAGTGACACAATGAAGCCTCATCTCTTAATCCTTCTGATTCCTTTGAACTTTCCCACTCCATCCATGATAAGTAAGCATTTAAATATATGAGTCTATGGAGGTCATTGCCTTGAAAACACCCCAAATTGCAATAACATTATTTTTCATGGAGGATCACATTGCTCCTCTTTCCAGTCTGAGAGACACAAAGGCTCTAAAGGACCTTATTTTCTCTAGTGTTAAAATATCCCTGTGGTGGTTTGAAAGAAAATGCCCTCCCACCCACAAGGGATTGGCACTGTTAGGAGATGTGGCTTTTTTATTAGGTGTGGCCATATTGGAGGAAATGTGTCACTGTGGAGGCACTCTTTGAAGTCTCATATATGCTCAAGCCATGTCCAGTGTCAGAGACCACTTCCTGCTGCCTGTGTAAGATGTAGAACTCTCAGCTATCTCTCCAGCACCATGTCTGCATGCACACTGCCATGTCCCACCATGATGATAGTGAACTGAACCTCTGAACTAAGCAGGCCAATAAAGGTTTTACTTTATAAGAGTTGCCATGGTCATGGTGTATCTTTACAGGAATAGAAACCCTGACTACAAAGGTTTGTTGCCATATGTTCTGTGAGAGAAATCCAGCAGTCCAGTTTGAAGTTTAGGCACTGATCACCATTATGACTGTCAAGTGTGAATTTCCTTCATGGTCTCTTATACATGGGTGTACATCATCTTATTTAAATTATAGAGCATAAATTGAACAATCATAATATCATTGTACAGGTATAATTATTATGTAGAATCAATGACTTACTTTTGATATCATAGTTAATGGGAGACAGACATGGACTCATCTTTGGCTACTTGAGTTGATGGACAGTCTCTTAGTTACTCTTCTTCACGCAATGGCCTGTAGGGAGACAACCAGAATGACTGCTGGATCTTTGCCTTGGCGGTCCTCCTCAGCAGCACCTTCATCTACAACAGCATAGGAACCATCAACCAGCAGGCCATGGACCAACTGCAGTATCCTTTGGGTGTGGTCTTGAACAGTAGTAAACCTAGGAAGTACAGCTTCTTTATTTCATGAGATAGACAGGTGTTGGGGCTGTGGACTTCCAGACCCTGAATTTCCTGTAAACAACTTGTTTTCCAATGCTTGTAGCCGATCTGAGCGTAACAATTTGTTTTCCCGTGTTTGCAGCTGCTCTGAGCAAGAGACCCTTAGGCATTCCTGATGGCAGGGGAATGTTTTCTTGTGAGTTTGGCTGGGGCTTAGTTATCTCTACATAAGATGCCCTCGACCAAAATAAGAGGGGCATTCTTGGTGAATTCAAGAATGACCCGTGTCCCCGTGTCTCTGTCTCTGTGTGTATCAGTCTCCAGGCCCTTGCCCAAGACTGGCGAACTGTCATGTAAAACGGGGACCTACTGTACCATAATGCATAACGAATAGCTCGAAGAGCAGATGGGGTGCTGTGCTTTACAGACAGGCAGGGAAGGACTAAGGGATTTGGATAAGCCTTCCTCCTTACCATCTGGGTTTATCTTGGTCTCTACCATAAGTTCAAATTTCCTGGCCCATATGGCCTTAAACTCAGACATACACTGCTCAGAAAATCCGTTTCTAGATTAATATCCCATGTATGTCCAAGTCTTCAACATTAGTTAAAACTTATGACCCTGAAAATCAGCATTCCTGCCAGCATCTCTAAGTATTACCATTTAACGACCTAGGTACGTGTTGTCAACACCTCTAAGAAATACCACTAAACTGCCCAGGTACGTGCTGTCGGTGATATATCCTGCAATCTCTCAGGTGCTCTGAGGTATTGTTTGTTGGTTGGTTCTTTTGTTTATTTAGCTCACAGTTTGTATGTCTTGGAACTACAGAAGAGACAGGCATGCTTCTTCCTTCTATTTAGACTGTGCTGCAGTTTCTCATTCTTCAGTCAGTAAAAAGAGGCTTTCAGTGCACAGCACTTCAATGTCCAGCCTTATTTTTCCATCCACCCACTCAACACAAGATTTTTCTTCTGGCAAAATTTTAAATCTCTACTAACTTCCTAAAGACTAGAAACCAGAAGTCACTCTTTACACATAGTACCTTATCCCTTCCCCTTCTTCCACTGTTTCCATCCTGACCTCATCTATGTCATTGTCACTGCTTGCTCCATCTTCATGACCTTGTCATCAAATATTGAGCTCAATAAACTTTTTCACCTGGTGGGTAATCACATTATTTGTTTTCACATCAGATGTTATAAACTGAGCTCTTCCTATTTCTGAGTGACTTGTCTCTTAGATCTAATGTTTCTAAGTTCTCTGGTATTCTACCTACCACACCAGTAAGTTCTTTCTGTTTACATTCTCTTCTTTCTGTGTCCTCTAAATGTATAACTCAGTTGCTGTGCCTCTGCTACCCTTGTTTGACTTTTTGTATCTAGGTGCTGTCATTTAACCTCAAGGCCTTCTGGGTCATCTATGTGGCATGTTTATAGTCATGGAAACATTCAATCTTTTGCATTTAGCTGCCTTTATGTAGATATGCAAGAGACAATTCAAAGTCAAAATGTACAAAATCTTCCTTTCCTCCATGTTTCTTATTACATTAGAATTTCTCATCATTTGCAAAATTGTTCAGATTCATAATATGGTATTCACTTGATACAACCATTTTCTAGTATACTAGAAATCATTATTGCACAAATGTTCTCAGTTCCAGTAGCAAATCTATCTCCCTAGACTGACACAGTCTCCTCATATCTTCTACAAAAACACTCTAGTCTAAGCTTTTCTTGTCTTGTGTCTTGGACATGTCAACTGCCAAATTATTCTTTGCTTGAACTTTTGATTCCTAGGTATATTTCCAGCCAGTGTGATCTTCAGAAATGATGCTAGGTCATAACTTCTCTACATAAAGTCTACCAGTGCCTTTCATTTAGTGAAATAAAACTGAAGACTTGGGTCTGTCTAACTTAAATGTCCCGCATGTATGTCTTTTTGGGCCTTCTGTCCCACCACACCAGTAATCAAGATTTATACTCACTATGGAATTATGTTTTCTGTTTAAGGATTCGGAAGTGATGTGACCTCCTTGTTTGTAATATTCTTCAACTACACTCTCCATGGTTATATCTGTTGATTCATTTGGATTCCCCATAACCTAGGACCTTAGAGAACACAGTGGCCTTTTGAAGACTTCCATGTGAACAATCCCCACACACTATGCATGCATCTTTCACTATTTGTTTTCTCATTCATTTTTGCATCATAATTCTTAGAAGTATCTAATGATTTCTTTTGTATTTTCATTCACTTATTTATTGTCTGTCTCTTTCAGCAGATATAAACTTTGTGTATTGGCATTCTGTTACTGATTTTAAAATTTTGTCCAAAGGATAGTGCTTGTTCTCTAGAAGACATTAAATAGATGTTTGTGACTGAGTGATTATTGAAAATGAATAAGGTAACAAGTAAATATAAGTTAGTTTGATGGGTAGTGGTGGAATCTACATCATGAAAATGGCATTTTCCCTGTAGTTTTCTTAACTTAGCATCCCAGCTATGTGACAGAACTGGCTGATCTAATCAAAGCAAAGTCATCACCTGATGAGTGTGGCATAGCTGACTCAGCTAACTTTGTGGGCTTCTTTCCAGTCTTTGTGTGGACTCTGAGGGATTTCTCCCTGGAGTTGGAAGTTAATGGAGAGTCTGTCTCTCCTGATGAGTACCTGGAGAGTTCATTGGCTCTGATAGAAGGTAAATGGTCTCCATGGAAGCTGTAGATACAATGATAACAATAGCATGAGGTCACTCCTGCATTCTTGAGAAGTTCTTCATCCTATAATTGTGCCATCCTCACTGCTGTTATGGCAAATGATAAAACAGCTGCCTGAATTTAAACTGTGCCATTCAGTACTTCTTAGAGACAGGAGCTTTCCTTTCCCATTACTCTAATTTTTGTATTGCTCATTTCACATTATCACATTCCCCCCTAATTGGGAAAGTTATAACATTGAAAAGGTCACAAATTTTCAGTAATTTATTTGAAATTTTCTTTACCTAATTCATCCTTTTTAAGGAACTGATAAGAAACATAAAAACTTAAATGAGTCTCGGCTATGCATCAGAAAGTTCTTTCCAAAGAGGAAGTGCTTCATCTTTGACAGGCCTGCTCAGAGTAAGTATCTTTCCAAACTGGAGACAATTCCAGAGGAAGATCTGAGTGAAGAATTTGTAAAACAAGTTGGAGAATTCACCTCATACATCTTCAGCTCTGCCAATGTCAAGACTCTGTCTGGTGGCATCATAGTCAATGGGCCACGTAAGTCATCCCCTCTACTTCTTACGTGGGATTTTCTTTTGCTCATTGCAGGATATTGAGGGATGCTGTCATTGAAAATGTAATATGTGTGTATCACATGACGGGACTTACTTGGGAACTAAATCTATTTCTTATAGTCTCATATCTGTGATAGTAATGGAGGGGTCACGGAATCTTAGGATGCCCTAGAAATAATTTTCTTTTGTTAATGATTCCTACTAATGAGCACAATACCTGAAAGTTACAAAAAAGCAACATATGGAATTAATGCATAGAGAAAGGCCTAAGGCCAGACACAACCTTTAAGCTTCAGGAAGGTAAGAGTTATGTGCCTGAAAGAAGAGAATGCATAAGAGTGTCTCTCATTGGAGAAGTATGGGACCAGAGCCACGGTGGGTCAGAAATGTGACTTAAGAAATCTATAGTTGACTCCAAGTTTTGTGGGAATGTCTCTAATTATACACATAACTCTGCAGTATTTTGTGTGTGATATTTTGCAGTTCTAAAAAAGAGAGACTGAGAAGATGAACCCTCTGCTTAATGGAGTAGAATTAAATGGTCATTCAGTTAGGCTCAAATTATGGAAGTAGAAATTGTCAAAGTGAGATGTCAGCTAATATATTTTGATATAAAATACAAAAGTTTTTCATTTATACTGAAATATGACAGCGTGGTGGGACTGAGATGGAAGATTGAAGCTCACCACTTTTTCACGTTGTATTCTGTGACTCATTTCAACTATAGAAATAGGAATAAACATACCGGATGCACTCATAGAGAACTTTGGGTAGGAAGGGCCTAAAACTGATCTAAATTGTCTGAAAACTGGTTCTTGGGATGTGGTGCCTTCAGGCCTGAAAACAACAAAGATGTGGGGGAGACCTAGATGTCTTGGTTATTCTAAAGCTTTTGTGAAAAAAAAAAAGGTGGATAGAGCCATTTACATAGTATGGAAAAAGAACTAGTAAGGTGTGCCATTAAAATTAGAAATAGGAAGAAAGAAAATGAGAAATAAAAACCATGCAACAGGAACAGAAGAAGAGGTAAAGAGTAAGGTTTTTGCCATTTAATAATAGAAAAAGGAAAGATAATGAGAAAGGAACAGAAAACAAACAGTGATATAACAAGTAGGCAGAGTGTTCTGGTCATCCTAACCTGTTATCATTTCAATACAAATTATATCTGTGTGATAAATGTAGAAGCAGTAAAAACAGGCTTCAAGATCCTCCTGATCTAGAGGTTAATATGTCATTCCCTTGATGTTCTTTCTCAGAAAAATCCTAAAAGCTATGTACTCTATTCAGCAATTAACAGTCATTTTAAACTCCTTTATGTAGGTCTACATAGCCTGGTAGTGACCTATGTCAATGCCATCCACAGTGGAGAACTACCCTGCATGGAGAATGCTGTTCTGGCTTTGGCCCAGATAGAGAACTCAGCTGCAGTGCAAAAGGCCATTGAGCACTATGAAGAACAGATAAAACAAAAGGTCCAGCTGCCCACGGAAACCCTCCAAGAGCTTCTTGACTTGCTCAGGCCTATTGAGAGAGAGGCCATTGAGGTCTTTATGAAGAATTCTTTCAAGGATATATACCAAAAGTTCCAGAAAAAATTAAGTGTATGTGTGATAGTCAAAATCTTAAAAAAGAAACACATGGACCTTTTCTAAGATGAGCATTATTTTTAGTCTCTAATACAGTGACATCCTACGATGTACATACATTTGCAATGGTTGTTGAAAGATTAGATTCTGCAAGACATTCATATAAAGATAGCAATATAGTTAACCACATTTTCCACAAAATTTCATTCTGTTTATTATAAAAATACATGAATGGTTAGTTGATGATGAACCCTTCCTCATTAGCAAGTCAAAACTTACTGATAGTTAGGTATGATAGTTGAGTTCAAGAGGTCTAATGAAGCTAGATAGTTTCAGTAGGAAATAGGCATCTTCATTTCGAAATTACTTTCAGGGAGTAATATATGTAGATTTTCTACTCCATTTTGCTTCCTAAGTGCTGAGATGTCCATCATTATCATCTTCACAATTCCTTTTACAGGCAGTGACAAAAACCAAACAAAATGTTACAATATCAAAAAGTATTTTTTTTCTTTTGCTGAGTACTTCTAGCAAAGTCTCTGGCTTTAGTGTCTTTCTTTACCTCATAATTTGATTAGAGACCTCTGAAACTGGAGTTGTTCATCCTGTTTCAGAGACAAGAGATCATCAGTCCATGAACATTAAGACCCCAACACAACAGAGTGTTGCATTCAGGAATTTCCACAGGAGCCTGATCTGAACTGTCCCTAAAATTAGACAGTTGAATAGACAAAGGTTTCCTATGAAATTGTGTCCGTGCTTTGATAGTTACATACTAATCAGGAAGGTGGGCAGCAGGAGGGGTACAGGGAGGTGCCTTCAGGAAATCACAAACCAAAAGACCAGTTTCTGCATGGACACAATGAGACCTTACAGTGAGGTGAAGAACAAGGCCCCATTTAGACATTCTCCATTATTCTATTGGGTTATCCCCCTCCTCTCAACCATCTGTGTATTTTGTCCTTGTCCAGGATCTGTTGGATGCCAGGCGAGATGCAGTTGTTAAGAAAAACATGGAAATGTCATCAGCTCATTGCTTAGATTTGCTGCAGGATATCTTTGGTCCTCTGGAAGAAGAAGTGAAACAGGGAACATTTTCTAAACCAGGAGGTTACTATTTCTTTCTTCAAAGGAAACAAGAGCTGGAGAAAAAGTATAACCAGGCACTTGGGAAAGGGCTTCAGGTAAACTGAGTTAGCTGGAACCATTTTGGGAGGCTGATATGGAATTTCCTTCAAATGCTAGTTAGAGCAACAAAGATACAAAGGTGTTGGTTGAGAGTGCTCTTGCCTTACATCCATCCACAGAGAGCCAATCATGATACAGAGAGCATTTCTTCCTTGGGAGTACAACTGGACTTCTCAATTTTGCTTGTGTAATTCATTCATTCACTCATTTACTTATCTATAGGAGAAGAAGCTTGTTCATCCTGGCCACCCGACTAACTTAGCCCCAAAATAACCACACAGAATCTGTGTTCATTAAATCACTGCTTGGCCATTAGTTCTAGTTTCTCATTGTTCAACTCTTATATTTCTATTAATCTGCTTTCCATTTCTATTAATCTGTATATTGCCACATGGCAATGGCTTGCTGGCAAAGATCGCATGTCTTACTCTGGCGGTAGCTCCCAGGCAGCTTCTCACTCTGCCCTTCTTCCTCCTGCATTCATTTCCATCTTTTTTGCCTACCTTAGTTCTACCCTATCAACAGGCCAAGGCTGGTTCTTTATTCATTAACCAAAAAAAGCAACACATAGACAGAAGGACCTCCCACACCACTTATCTAATCATCTCACAGTGATTTATTATTCTCATGTATCCAGTACTTCTCAGGGTGCTAGAGTTACTGCAATTTGCAAAATAAACAAACCAAACCAAATGCAGATAAAAAATTCTCCCTCACAACCACCAGGTGATGCTAGTAATGGTAGTAATGGCAGTTCACACATAGATTGTCCTATTGTTTTCGAGAAGTTAATCCACTGAGTTCTGACAACAATTCTACTAAGCATTTATTATTATTTTCTCATGAAGAGAAAAGAAACTGTGGAAGAGTGAAGTTAAGACCTCACACAAGATCACATAGTCAACGAGGCAACTAAAGCCTGAATGAAAATACAGGTTACATAGTTTTGCCTTTAATGACTCTAAAGTGTTCTACATAATCAATAGCGGGTAAGATTAGATTTATTTACATATTACTTTCGAACATTAATGGCTTTAAAGGTGTTAAATATTTCTTCCCTTTTGGATACAAGAAATGAGATAGAAAGAACCAAGTCACTCTAATGAACTGATTGTGTTCTGGGTTTTTTCTGTGCTTAAGAACCTTAGTTTGTGGTGACCTTTTCCAGGTCATATTCATGCTCTGAAGCCATTGCTAGTGATTATGTGGTTATGTGATTTTAACTAGCATTTAGTCCTCCTCCTGCTGTACAAAGAATAATATATATAAAACGTATATTTCACCTTGATATGAGGCAACGAGAAAGTTCAGCAGAAAAAGAAGTTGGACCGAGAGACAAGTAGCTATGAAGGAAATGGAAATATCTGAAACCAGAAACATTCTGTAAGAATAAATTGATGCTTTATAAAGGTTCTGTTTAATGGGTGACAAAAAAAAATACTCTCAGGGCATAAAGTGACAGACCAGAGGTTGGACAAAACAGTGGGTATCTTGGAGAACACTCAAAAAGACCAGATATTTATTTGGATAAGTTAGAAAGTCAGCAGGGGTTTTAGCATCACTGTCGTACTTACTGCTCTGTTGATGTGAAGAGACACCATGACCAAGGGAAGTGTTTTTAATGCTGCAGCTAGCACAGCCTGTATAGCCAAGACTGGCGGGAGGGAGTGGTGGTCCTGGAATTGAGACACAGAGGCTTCTTTTCAGGTGGAAGAACAGCAACCTTTATTTTGCCCAGCAATATTTTATACCTATACTCCTTCTGTGGAGACCCTCAGCCAGAAAGAACACAAACATCCTTGTTAATTACAGACCACAAGAAAGTTCTGCTGTCAGTCAGGGGGAGTGAGGGCAGCTGGATCACAACAATTAATAGAAAACATTTAATTTGTGGCTTCCTTACAGCTTCAGAGGGTTAGTTCACTATCATAATGATGATGAGTATGATGGCACACAGGCAGGCATGGTGCTGGAAAAGTAGCTGAGAGCTTTACATCCTGAGCTGCAGGCAGCAGACCCAGAGACACACACTGGGAATGGCATGGGTTTTTCATGCCTCAAAGCCAGCTCTTGTGACTTGCTCCCTCTAAGAGTCCACACCTACTCCGTCAAAGCCATTCCTCCTCATCCTTCCTAAACATTTTCACCCTCTGTGACTAAGTTCAAACATATGAGCCAATAGGGGCCATTCTTTTTCAAACCACCACAATGGCCCTCCTTGAACTCTTATGACAATATTCTGGATGCTTTGAGAATGGTCTGCCGCAGTCATTCTGGCAGGAGGGAAGGTCTCAGGTCAGCAGATTTAGAAGGAGCAGATGGCCAATAAAAGTTCCTAGTTAACCCTTCTAGGTAGGCTCCATGCCAGGAAGGACATAGCTAAAACGAAACAAACTCAATGGTATTATTGTCAACTTTCTGTATCATATTGTTTTTGTTAGGTCATTTTGTAAAAAGTCTTATTGGTCATTTGCTTGTATTATGGTTTCCACTTTTGTGTTTTAGTGAATTTTGCCTGTGTATGTGTGTCAGTTTCTTGGTTTTCTTTTTCTTCTTTCCTTTTTCGGGATTGGTTTTTGTTTACTTTTTTGTTTTATAAAGAGGGATTAAAGAAAAAGCACAGAGTTGGGTGGGTATGAGATGGGTAAGGTATGGGAGGACTTGAGGGAAGATCACGTGGGTGTTCAGAATATATCGTATAACAAAAATTTCTCAATTAAAAATGCATTTTGAAGCCAAAGTCAACATTATTAGCTTATTGTAACATATAGAATAAATACTTGGCGGGAAATAAGACATCAAAGATACAGCTAGAGGAATGGAGTCACCTGTTAGTAAAGTTTGAACAACTAAAAGTGATCGAGTCTTATGGGACCTCCGGTCAATTTTAAAACCTTAAACTTGAAATATTGTTTGAATCTCAAAGCATGTGTTTATAGCTGGTAGCATTAAATTGAATTAAGAGATGCATGACATGATTTGTCTTCAACTCACATTCTTATTTCCTTATTGTAATTTCTTATGGCATTTAGGCTAAAAAGATGCTGAAAGCGTACTTTGAGTCCAAGAAGGGTGTTGCTGAAACACTTCTAAAGATGGATCAGTCACTCACAGAAAAGGAAAAGGAGATTGAAGGTGAGAGCTGCTGAGAAGGCTCCAGATGTTGGAAATTTTCTTTTCTTTTCTTTTTTTTTTTATACTTTCCATTAACATGGTTTTCAGTTAAACTAGTGTTTGTACTTAGTCCATTGTTTCTTTCTGGCACTTTTCCATGGTGTTAACTGAAGCTCTGCCCTCCCCTGACACAACCAGATTTGCATAGCAGCGAAGGGTATGGGACAATGCAAAACCAAAAATTGCACACATCTCCATCATTTAAAAGTTAACTCAGCTCTAGTCAGTTGTTGGTCATGAGTGGCCAGGGTTTGAAGGGCTGTAGACAGAGCTGACAGTTATAAAGCAAGGTAATGCACTGCCCATAGTTAATCCCTTAAGTTGCTGAGAAAACTACTGACAGTCTGCTCTCATTCTCCTAGGCTTATAACTTTATATTTCTTTATTTCTGGAACCTATATTTCTCTATTCTTGTTCTTGGATTATTTACATATGAGGTTGTCATTACAGAGAAAGATGACAAATGTCTCTCTTAGCTTCGTGACTGTTTTTTAACTGGTAGATGTGGCCAACTCCATCCTTGTTAACTGCTTTTATAGGGCAAAGATTCCACAGGAAATTTCTGTCTATGGTAGGATTTTTTTTTCTACAGTGACTACAGATAAATGCAGCTAATAGCTTTCACTTCTCATGTCTTTTGTTTTCCTTTTCTCAGAGGAACGTTTAAAGGCTGAAGCTGCTGAAGCTTCAGACAGGGAACCGAGAGCAATGCAAATAATGGATGTTCTAATGTTGAAAGAGAAGGAAAACAGCTTCAACGAGCATATGAAGCAGCTTCAGAAGAAGATGCAGCAGGAGCGGGAACAATTAATGACTGAGCAACAAAACCTTGTATGCCTCAAACTTAAGGTACCTTTTTGCACCCTTTTAATTTTCTGCAGTCCAATCAACAATGTGTATCAGGTGCCTTAGGTATTTTGTTCACTAGAACAAGGCTTGACTGGATTGTGAATGAAAGCTCTGTGACACCCTACTCCAAAATACTTTGCTAATAACACAAGATCCTCTAACGTGGGGCGAATTGTTTAATTCTCTATTACAGTCTCAACCCCTTGCTGCTTTTTCTCTGGCCACCTCTGACTCTGTCAGGCTGCCTATTGATGGATGAAATCCTTTATCAGGGTATCTCTGTTAAACAGTAGTTTTGAATTGCATATTCTTTTCACATGTTTTGTAGGATTTCTGTGACCACATCTTCAATTAACCCATCAAGGATTAATTTTTCACATGTGCTAGACAGAGAAATTATACTATTTTTGCATAAATCTATATAATGTGATATTCAACTCCGATCTTTTCTACCGAATGTGACCCATAGAAATTTTGTCCCTGCCACACCTCACATGACTTTATTTTTGGAATCATTCTAAAGAATAGACAAAGTCTCAAACCATCAAGAAATGGTTAAATGCTCACATTGCCAGGAACATCCTATTTTCTCGGCATCCCTCCCCATCTTTACCTAGGCTTCATGGTTGCTAATAAAAAGTTGTGTGAGCACTCAAGACCCCAGTTGCTTCAGTATATTTCTGTCTCCTGTATTGGACACTAAACATTTTGAAAATGTACTAAATTCCTTACTTGAATGCCTGCCCTAATTCTGAATCTGGTAATGACCTTCACTTGGATTTTTGCCAGTCTTATCACTTTACTGCTTGTATTTGATTGTCCACAGAACACAGATCAGAGATGAGGCAAGAAAGAGGGAAGCTAGAGCTGATTTTATAGAAAATGGTTTTTTACATGAGCCAAAGGATCTGAGAATTGGAATCAGACTTATGGGCCACAGGTGTTTTAGGAACTGGTAGACAACATTTCTAAAGCTGGAGAAAGCACAGGAATTTTATTGCCATATGAGGAGATGGGGGAAGAAAATATAGAAGTTGAGGAAGGAAACGGTTGTGGGAAAAATTTCAAAATTCCATTAGGGTTTAATATAACTTCCAAAGGAGAGCTTGTGAGACACATGAGGAACATGGGAGCTGTCTGAGTTCACTCTTCATCTCTATTTTGGGAACAGGAAAAATTTCTCAAGGAAGGATTTCAAAAAGGGAGCAAGAAACTTCTTGAATGGAGAAAATCAAGAGCAGAATGTCATCATCATTCTCCATGCTCTAAACTTCAAACCAACTAAACCTCTGTACCCAGGTCTGACATCAAGAAATTTTCTACGGGGTCAACTTTGTACCATGAAGCAACTTGACACTGAACTATACTTGAAACTATGGTGCTCTATTGGGAGGAGGATCGAAATAAAATTAACAAAGTAAAGTTTAAGTATAAAAATAGTGTTTTGCTTATTAAGTGAATCAGTTCATATTTATTTTATACCTAAAGAGTAATGTTATCTTTAATTGGATCTTATATTTGAAATCATAAATATGGACTACACAGAGATATTAAATTGTGTCATTGGATTTATTTAAAAACTAAAGTGGTATGACATCTCTTTGGGTATACCTTTTTGTATCATACACATCTTTTTCTAGATATTCTTTGCTGCATGCTCATAAGTAATTCAAATTTAACTTTGTCCTAAGCTGAGGGTGGCATGTTGTAAATGTGAGAGAAATATGAACATACCCATAGGACACAGTGGAGTTTCACAACTCTTCTGTGCTCCTTGGATTTCATGCTATTTACAGACAAAGGAACTGTGAACCCTGACATTTGTTCCATGTAGACACTAGGCAGTTCTCAATGTCAGTAGGCTGCATTGCTGCTGGATGAGCAGAGGAGGACCACTGGATGGCAGCAGAAAATAATTCTCTTCATGCAGAATGCATTGCAGGAGGAAGCTTCACCTCCTAGAGCTGAGGCTGTCTTGGCTTGAATTATGCTCCAGTGAATTGTATTTCCTTTCTAATCTCCCTCTTTTTAATATTTTAAAAGTTTTTCTTCTTCTTACAGTTTTAGAATGACTTCTACGGTCACAGAATGGGGAACTCAAAGTAAATTCCTTTGTATTCTTCCAAGGATTATGACCACAGCCCCAACTGTTCTGAAACTTATCTCCATTTTTACCTGTGTCTCACTACTGTAATGATCTGTCCCAACCCTTTAAGAGGCAAGCCCTGCCCACTTCTCTCCCATCTGCTGCGGCAAGTATATTTTCCTTCTGTTTCCAGCCTGAGTGTTCCTCCCTTTCTGTCTCTCCTCCTGAAGAGGCAGCTTTTGCCTCACTCCCTTCTCGCCACTTTTTCCCTTCCTTTCTCTCTCTGGTTCTCTTCTCTCTCTCTCTCTCTCTCTCTCTCTCTCTCTCTCTCTCTCCCTCCCTCTCTCTCTTCTGCCTTTTTCTCCCCTTCTTCCCTTTCCATAACCCACAAATAAGTATCCAATCTCACTCTGGATGGTGTGCCTATCCATTTTGTCCTCTCACCCGCCCTGTGGCTCTCTGCTCCTCTTGGCTCGCTGCCTGCTGCAGCCACTTGGGGAATGGCACCATTTTACTTTTACCATAGCTTGTGACTCGACCAGGCTCTCCATGCTGCCTCCTGCCTGCCTGTGGGCCAGCTGAGGATGCATGAAACCCTTGACTTGAGAACCAGGTTTCTTTACAACAGCCCTGCATCGTATCTGCCTAATTGCCAGCCTCTATGTACACCAGCTGTTTCGTTGGTGAGTTTTGCCCTTCCAGCCCCCAACTACAATCTTCACTGCTATGGTTGAGTCCTTCTCTGACATTCATCTCTGGTTGCTTTCCATAACTAAAAACGTGACCAGACAGGTTTGGTCCTCTCGTGATAGCACTGCACACACTGTGTGGTACAATCGATTTGGGGCCCAGGGTCTCCCAGATTTTTCTTTTCTTTTGGACCACTTGTAAGTGGTACCCACCATGAGAGACTTCTCAGAGCAGCCTCTAGCCTCTGGCTTCCGAGTTGCCCGGACTGGAGCCAGTCAGGCTTTAACACCCAGTCTGTAGAAAAGAGACATCCTCCTATATGCTTTGTGGTTTGTCACCACTATTTCACACCCCACCTATAGAGAGAGGACACTCTTTTATAGGCCCTCTGGTGTTTTCATGAATTTTTATATTTTCAGCTATGGTATAAATCCTCAAACTATCAGTCATCCACCTGTAAATGCTCCCCTGGTGTCCTGCCAGCTCGGTTTTTCCTCAAACTGCTATCTGTCACGGCTATCACTGCAAACAAGATTGGTAGGATCCACAAGGCAGCTGTTTCCAGGTCCAGCCTTGGCTTCCAACCTGGCTTGTGGCATGGCAACTTGGCAACATGGCCGATCTTGCCTCTAGGCCTCTCTTAAATCTCCTGCAGGATGTGCCCTACTATATTAATAGCAGCATTTTTTGTCATAGCCAGAACCTGGAAACAACCTAAATGACCCTCGACTGAAGAATGGATAAGGAAAATGTGGTACATTTACATAATGGAGTACTACACAGCAGAAAAAAATAAAGACATCTTGAATTTTGCAGAAAAAAAGATGGAGGTAGAAAACATCATTTTGAGTGAGGTAACCCGAACACAGAAAGACAATTATCACATGTACTCACTCATAGTGGTTTTTAAACATAAAACAAAGAAAACCAGCTTACAAACCACAATCCCAGAGAACCTACACAATGAGGACCCTAAGAGAGACATACATAGATCTAATCTACTTGGATAGTAGAAAAAGACAAATCCCCTGAGTAAATTGGGAGTATGGGGACCTTGGGGGAGGGCTGAAGGGGATGAGAGAGGTAGGGAAGGGAGCAGAGAAAAATGTAGAACTCAATAAAAATCAGGAAAAAAAACTCCCGCAGCTCAAAGATCATGGCTTTTCCGTACAACACGTGATCGCTGCCATTTTGACTGAGGTCAGGTGACCTTACCGCCATCTTAACTGAGATCAGATGACTTCACTGCCATCTTAACTGAGACCCAGGTCAGGTGTCCATGTTCTGCCTTCTTTACCCCTGTGCTTACTCTGTTGCATGTGTGTTTTGTGCAGGGCCATGCCTTTGATAAGGCCCACCAAGAACATCCACTTTGTTCAATTCCTGTTCACTACATGTGTGTATGTTTGTGTATATGCATACATGTATCTTAAATGAACTTATGTTTATTGTTAAATATATAATTGTCTGCCCATTATATCTCATTCAAGACTAACAAACAGCAAGTTTCATGTTTTAAATTGGTACATACTTTTAAGTCTCTTACAAAAAATACTATATATGTAATCCAACCCTGATTTAAGATATATTAAGCTGTTCTCTACTATTGTAAGTTCTGCTGTTAACCTTCTATTACAAGTAGTTTTTTCTTCTTTCTGTCTTTTTATGAGTATAAATCTTACCTGTTATGTTGAGAGCCAGTACAGTCAAGCTTGAACTTAGCTCTCCAGGCAGATTATATAACTTATCTATACCTAGTAAACAGCCTTCACCTGCTCAGAGATCTGGGGAATATGACATTTAAATATTTAATTATTAAAAAACTTTTCATAACAAAAAGAGACAGCTTAGCTCCTAGCAGCAGCACTCTGCTTCCTCCCAAGAAGACAGAAGACAAATGGGCACACAACAACATCCATCTGCAATTCTCTTCAACTGCCAAGCACTGACCACTGGGAAAAACTGCCTTTCATCTAAACTAAAGATCACCAGACAGTGGGCAGAATCCCTGCAATCGACAGCCTAGCTGCTCAGGTCAATGTAGGCTTGTCTTCCTGCAGATTTCTTAGCCCACAGGATCTTCTGGAGCCTGACAGGTCCTGTGCTCATCAGCAGACGGCAAATACGACCTTCAGTGATCATGGAGGACCCTGAAGAGTAGCTCTAGGTACCAACCAAGTAATTTCTCTGTGGTTTTTAATCAATAACTCAAGTAAAATTTTATCCTTCTCAAAGATCTCTAATGCAGTTTGACTGCTGAGTGGTTTTGTCAGTTTAAAAGGAAAACCTCACCAAAGAAATTTCAGTAAAACACAAATACAAGTTACTAAGGTGTACATTTGCAAGTTATAAAGGTGTGAGGACAAATACAAGCTATCAAAACTCTTTCTCATGCTGCCTCCCATAGTCTTAAAGATACTTTTTATTATGTAAAAAAATCTTGTCACAGACATTCTGACATAAATGTGCTACTATTTATACAATGCATATGTCTAAAACTTAGGTTTTTACAAACCCAAAGAATTCTCATGAGTTCCAGAGAGCCGAATTGAAGGATCCACCTTAAACATGTATAAGAGACACCAGGCATTTCCATACCACAAACACCAGACAGTAACAAAGAGACCAGCTACTTCAGGATGTGACCCGCACCCAGCTTTCTCAGGTTCTCACCTAAGAAGACACCCACAAATAAGTCTTGAGAATCTGTCATTCCAATTTCTTTAACTTGTTGTGGTTAACCTCACGCCTTTTTATTATAAAAAAGAGATGGGAATGTTATGGTCTGTCCTGTCCCTTTAAGAGACAAGTCTCTCAACCCCCAACCTGCTGAGGCAAGCAGAACTTTCTTCTGCTTCCAGCCTGGGTTCCTCCTTTTCTGTCTCTTCCCCCCAAGAGGCAACTTCTGCCTTGCTCTCTTCTTCCCACTTCTCCATTCCCCCTATCTGGTTCTCTCTCTCTCTTTCTCTCTCTCTCTCTCTCTCTCTCTCTCTCTCTCTCTCCCTTTCTCCCTGTCTTCCCTTCCACTGCCTGCTGCAGCCACTCAGGGAATGGTGTAGTTTTACTTTCACTATAACAACTACTACGACATAAATCCGAGGAAATTTGCAAAAATTTGCAAATTTTGTAAAAAAGAAATCATTTACAAATCTCTGAGGATAAATGCCTTCTACACCACAGCAGAAACGCAGGGTAAGTGAAATCTGTTAATAAAAAGGATCACCCTGCTGTAATTGTTTCAAGCGTGTGCTGTAAGTACAAGTTGTTCAAAAAGTAATAGAATCCTCTCCTAAATTTCTATAAGAAGAGAGCTAATTTGAAAACTTAGCTGACACAGTCTCCCAATGATAAGGGCGTTGGCTCTGCATCAACACATTCAGAATAAAAGCACCACAAAAAGAGACCGTCAAAGTTGTGGGTCTCGTCATTCTCATGGAATATAGAAACACAAAAATACTTTCTGTGTAATTCTTTTGCTGGTGCTGGCATCAAACCTAAGGCTTTGACAGATGTAATTCTGATGATACTTAACTGAGAGAATAACAGCAGTGGTATGGTGTTTCTTCAATATACTTTTGAGTGCACATTGGTATCATGTGGACTTGTTGAAATGGCTCAACTCTTGTAGCTGGAAAAATTAAGAATCAGGCCCATTGTCTGATTTGTGTTAGGTCAGACAGAAAGTTTTTCTTAATTTATTTATTCATTTATTAAAAATTTCCACCTCCTCCCTGCCTCCCTTTTCCCTCTCCCTCCCCACCTCCCCCTTCCTCTCTAGTCCTAAGAGCAGTCAGGTTTCCATGCCCCGTGGGAAGTCCAAGGTCTTCCCCCCTCCATCCAGGTCTATAAAAGCAAGCATCTAAACAAACCAGGTTCCCACAAAGTCAGTCCATGCAGTAGAATTGAAACCCAGTGCCATTGTCCTTGGCTTCTCAGTCAGCCTTCAGAGTGTCCAGTTTGATCACATGCTCCATCACTCCCAGTTTTGATGGCCTAGGTGAGCTCCCATTAGATCCGTCCCAGTGTCTCAGTGGGTGGACGCACCCCTTGTGGTCCTGACTTCCTTGCTCATGTTTTCCCTCCTTCGAGTGCTGGTCCATGTCAAAGTTTTAAGTGCTGATCAGCGTGAGGTTTAATTAAATGTCTCCCAAACTTCAAACCACTGTTTCAGCTGCTGTTCATAGCCCAAGGGCAGCTTGTCAATGCCTTGTTCATTCCCAGCCTGCTGGGACATTTCAAAGGCTCACAGATATCTCAGATTTAGAACTGGCAGTGACTTTCCTAGGCTTTTCAGACATTATTTACCCTCAGAGGTTCATTGAAAGGACTCTGGCTTACTTATCTGTAAGGAAACAGAATACAAAGAAGACTGGAGAACCCGCCCCCCAGTTTAGAAACAAACTTGCTGCACAGACTGGGAAACTCCCAGTCCCTGAGCTGGAAACAAACACAAAAATCCTTTTCGTTTACCCTTAAGTTCCACATGATTGACAAATATTCAACAGGTGCTAAATTGTTTGGGGGATGGTAGATGCTAACAGATTATAATGATAACAAGTTTACTGCCCGAAAGGAGAGCAAACCAGCTGATTTCCAGCATTTGATTTGTTTAGAAGAACTCAGGCTCACTTTCACTTTCAGTAATATTTTCTCTCCCTCCTCCTTCTCTTCTTTCCTCCTCTCTCCATCCCTCCCTCCCTGCTACCTGTCTCTCCTTCCCTCCCTCCTCCTTTATTGTTCCTTCTAACTCCACCTTTTTATTTCTTTTCGTCTCTATTCTCTCGCAGTATAGAGAAATGGCTTTCAAACAAATTCGGGTCCAACTCTGAATTGCGCAATCTCTTCCTGCCTTTGTGCAGCTCAGTGGGGTGGGCAGCTTCACAAACCAAACACTAGTGGACCAAAGACAGAAAAGTAAGAGAGAGTGACTTCAAAACCATGTCTTCTTCAATAAATGCATCACTTTAGCTTTCTAAACATCCACAGAAACTCTGGAGTTAAACTGTATCATTTGTAAGTCTCTAGTTGAGAACCCCCCTAAAGCCTTTCTGTTAGCACGCCCTTCATTCCTGTCAAGTGGTTGAATCGTTTCTTCCTGTTCAGTGTTATTTTTTTACTTTCACTTTCATATTCTAAACACTGCTCTTTTACTGAGCTGAACCAGAAATTCTCTGCTGAAAACCCCAGAACATCTTAGGCTATTGCAGAGGGCGGAGGTGTCACAGCAACTGTGAGAGAGGACAAAGGACTCAACAACCAGACTCACAAGCAAAGCAGTCAGCATTCAACACCTCACACAGGCTGCTTTCTTAAGCACTAAAGGATTTTGTTTCCGGTAAGACAGAGGTGGGGGTGGGAAAGGCTGTACCAGATTGTTGCATTGCCCTAAAAAGACCTCTCTAAGGGAGACAGGCATAAGTGGAACAGGAGATCACTTAAAAACAGGGTTGATTGTCAGAGGTAGTTTTACTGTTAGAGCCCAGGTCCCTACTATGTAGAGTTAAATGAACTCTAGTAAGGAAGAGTCCATGGAGAGGGTATGTATGAGTCTTTGAAGATTGATACTGCATTCGTGGGACCATTGTAGATCATCTTTATTGTCTATTGAAACTGAGGTAAAATCCCTCTACTTGTTGCCAATGTCTGCCTATGGGTAAAGTAAGTAAGACTGCTTGGAGTTTGTAAAAAGAGACAATTCTCCTGGTGATAGTTAAGGAAGTTATAAAACCATTGTATGTTTTTAAAATATTTCTGTGTGCGTGTGTATGTGCGTATTTACATTTTGAAAATTTCATATATGTAGTGTGTTTTAGATTGCGTGTATTCCCTATTTTTTTCCTCCATCTCCTCCACTCCAGCCCCCAGCTCTATTCATTTCACAAATTTCTGTCCTCATTGAGTCAGGTTATTGTGGGTCATTTGGGCATGTGCATAAATCCATCTACTGGAGGTTGGGTAAATTACCAGGGGCCACATTACAGAAGAAAACCAACCATCTCTCCCTTAGCAGTCAGTCATCAGTGCCAAACTCCTAAACTACACCATGGGACTCCCTGTGCCTCTTACCCATCCATAATAGAATTTTTAGCTGCTGAATTTTATTCAGGATTGTTTCTTTCTTTTCTTTTGTTGTTGTTTTTTGAGGCAGGGTTTTTCTATGTAGGCCAAATTGTCCTGGAACTCATTCTGTAGTCCAGGCTGGCCTCCAACTCGGAGATCTGCCTGCCTCTTTCTCCTGAGGACTAGGATTAAAGGCAAGTGGCACCACTGTCCGACTTTATGCAGATTTTCTATAAGCACCCACAGCTACTGTGACTTCATGAGTTCAAAGACCCTATCATGTTTCGAAGATAATCTTTCTCCTTGAAGCAAAGACTGTACTCCATTCATATTTTTGGTATAAGTACTACTGTGCATTGAAAGGAATCAAAACTTTGGGAGGAATGCTCAACTCTAGGGCAACACAGGAAAATTGTGAGGTGTCTCTGGAAGGATCTGTGGTGGGGGAAAGTACTGCAGCACTGAGGATATGATGGAAGTCTTCCAGCCAAACACAGAATCCAGATGAAAGTGCCTCAGTAAACAAAGGGGATAAGCCAATCAATAAAACAAAGAATGATCATGCAGTTCAAAGGCACACAGAATAAAATAAATACCTAGGAGTTTGTACTGATGTAGCCAAATGAATGAATGAGTGATTGACAGTAGGAACAATACTCCTACTCTCTGTAGACCTCCAATTAAAAAGTAAGTGGCATGATAAGAGTAGACGGTCATCTTAAGCAAACATTATAGTGGTTTTATTTTATAAGCGTGCACTAAAAATAGTGATCAAAGCCCATGAAGTATAATAAAATTACATGTGCTGAGTCCTAGAGTCTCTCCAAATGGAAACTTCAAAATTTTCTCCTTATTTTTGCTTTCACACTTAAAAAGCAATTTTAATTAGTGTTCTCATTCTTGCTGTTCTCACTTTATATGTGTCTGAATACATATTTACAAATATGCATTTAACTATATATTTAAATTTAGATTTCCTGCGTAAGAGAAAATATAAAATGTTTCTTTTGCTGAGTCTGGCTTATTTTGGTTAACATGGTGATCTCCAGTTCCATCCATGATTCCTGCAAATGATACAACATCATCCTTTCTTATGGCTGAATAAAACTCTGCTGGGTATACGTACTATGTGTCAGTTTTCCATTTATCTGCTGATGGACAGCTAGACTGGTTCCACAGTGCAGCAATAAAATGAAGATGCAAGTATCTTTGCCATACAATCCTTTAGAAACACACACATATATGTATATATATGTATGTGTAGGCATATATATGTACATACATACATACATACCCAGGAGTGGTATCTGGTCATTTGATAGTTCTAAGTTTTTGGAGACACTGCCATGCTGCTTTCTCCTGTGGCTGCACCACTTTACATTCCCACCAGCAATGCATAAGAGTTCTCTTTCTCACACCCTTGGAAGCACTTGTTAATTTTTTCTTTAGGCTACACATTCTTAGTGGAGAGACGGGAACCTTGATACATTTTAAACTTGTATTTCTTGGGTCAATAAAATCTTAGACATTTCCCCAAAATATTTATCTGCTATTCAAATAGTGCATTTAAACACAAACTAGTAAACAGTTCTTGATAGATCACCCCTTAACCAAGAGAACATATTCCAAAGAGTATTTTCAGAGCAAGTCATGTCAGCAGCACTAATCTTTGATGTGATCGACGAAGATTACAGAATATCAGCCTTGTAACCTTTTTGCCCAGTATGTACCAATATAATTTCATTCTATCATTTAAAAAACAACTAAAAATATTACTGAAAATATTCTACAATATAAATGTGATACACTCTTCTAGGATTTAAAGTAATGAAGGATAAAGAAAGAACAAGAATCTACTGAAGATGAGGGGAAGGTAAAGAGATGTGAGGATTAGGGAGGGATCCTGGATTACATCATAATGCAGAAAAGGGACATCATCAAAATCTTATTTAAGAAAGGGAGGAGGTATAAGGTATGCAGATTTAAAAAGGGTGTTATAGGACAGCTGAAAGACTAGTCAGTTACTCCACTGAGGGTATGTAAGATACTGACATTGGAAAAAGATGGAGAAATGGTATATTCAGCCTTTTGAACCCACTATATAACTTTTCTGATTATCTATGGACCTCAATTGGTTGCATTTAAATGAAAGTAGTGTCTAGCATTTAGGACAATCATAAAGAGCCCAGAACATTTAGAAGTGTAAAAAGAACACATTTCAAAGGTGGAATATTTTAGCACATACTCTTTTATTCCTCTCATTGACAAGAAATTGTTGTCCAATTATCTTCTCCTTAGAGACAAAAGAACACATGGCCTCAGACATCCACATGCTGGAACCCATGTGTCTCATTGAGAACACTGAGGAGCAGCTTGTGGTCAACCAGGAGGCTCTGGGTTATCTGTCTGTCATCAAGCAGCCAGTGGTGGTGGTGGCCATCGTGGGCCTCTACCGCACAGGCAAATCCTACCTGATGAACAAGCTGGCTGGGAAGAAATCAGGTGGGTGAAACCAACACAGCTGTGCTAGGGCCTTTCTGTCCACCCATGTAGCCTGAATCTTAAAAGCAAATGTGAGGAAAGAATGTCAGAGAGAGGGAGGAATAAGAAACGATAATGTCTATCCACTAGTGGAATTTCTCTTTGATGAATTATTGCTACTCACTGGTTTTTAAACAACACCTTTGTTTTCAAATTTAAAGTTAAATGTATATTTTAGAGAAAGAGCAAATACATTTGAGAAAGTTAACTTCCTTAATGATGAATTATAAAACGTTTATTAGACTGTCCACATAGTAGGGGTAAGTGTCTAGCTGTAAGGAATGAATGCATTGATCAGTATTCTATTTCTGGGGTAGTAATTGAAATCAATACGTGCAGTTGTTTTACTCTTTCAAGTGTAACTGCATTGGTTTTCAACTCAACACCAGAAGCACCATTATGTACTCCCCTCTCCATCCCATGCCCATTCTGCGTTGCAGGCTTCTCTCTGGGCTCCACAGTGCAGTCTCACACCAAGGGGATCTGGATGTGGTGTGTGCCTCATCCCCAGAAGCCAGAACATACTCTAGTTCTGCTTGACACTGAGGGCCTTGAAGATATTGAGAAGGTAAAAATAGATCTTTCAAATTCTACTCATAGCTTTTCAATAGCTCACCTCGAAGAACCCATTTCACTCCTGGATATATGCTTCTAAATAATTAAATGAATGTTCTATTCTTTGAGTTGTTCTAAGAACCAAGAATAATGAATCAGCATTTAGATGATATTATAATAATGATAGATAATGATATTTTAGTCTTTTTTCCACACCAAATATTTTGGTTAAAACTGCTAATGATACCATGAACTTGCCTGTGCACATTATAAACATGACTGACTATTCAATGTGAGACCCTAATAAAAATACAGTATTCTGTATTTATTTTTGAGAATTCAGAAATTCTCAAAAAAATAATAAAATATATTTTAAAAGAATGGCCAATTCTCCAAAGGACTGCCAGTAAGAGAACAACAATGCAAGATCTGCAACAACTCTTTGTTCAGGGAGAGTCATGTGTTACTCTTCCCAAGTTTTATTGAGATCAATAAAACTCTTATTGAAGGACCTTTCTTTCACTAGTGCTAACACTAGTGCTAAAATGACCCTTACCATACATAGTATGTCCTGTAAATAAAGCTTAGCATTGCTAGTTTAAAAAAGATGATATACATCCATGTGTATGAATGCGTGAAGGACACTCACACTTAAAGGTCATAATGGTGATTAGTTACTAAAATTCAAACTGGCACGAATTGAATATTCATAAAATCATCACACAGATAAAAAGTTATTATGTAGTAGAAAATACTTACTCTTGATGCCATCCATAGCTAATGGGATACAACAAAGATTCATCTTTGGCTACTTGAGCTGTTGGAAAGTCTCTTAGCTACTCTTCTTCACTCACTGGCCTGTAGGGAGACAACCAGAATGACTGCTGGATCTTTGCCTTGGCGGTCCTCCTCAGCAGCACCTTCATCTACAACAGCATAGGAACCATCAACCAGCAGGCCATGGACCAACTGCAGTATCCTTTGGGTGTGGTCTAGAACAGTACTAAACCTAGGAAGAGCAGCTTTATTATTTCATCAGGTAGACAGGCAGGCAAGGACTTTACTAATTCTAAGTCATTAACCAATCCTTTTATATTTATCATGTGATTTTGCCTGTTTTCGCTACAAGTTCAGACTTCTTAAGTCACCCATTGCCTGTGGTACACTGTTGAGAACATCACTATCTAATAGGTCAATATCCTGCATTTGTCCAAATCCTCAACACGATTTAGAACCCATATACTCAATAATCACTATTATCATTATCTCTATATGTTACCTATCCCCTAACTACCCACAGAATGCTATCGGTAATATTTATCCCCAAACTCATAGTTTTTGCAGGCTTATTGCTGCTGCCTGTTGTGCAGTCACCATTTGGGGGTGGGGGAAGGGCTGAGAAGATGCGGAGGCAATGGCACAGACCCAGACCAAGGAGACTCCAATACAGAAGCTTTCGCAGGAATGTTTCTGGATGGTCCTTTTGAAACTGGTGCTCACCGCCGGTGTGCTGTGATGGGCTAGAAACACACGTCATTACTTACCATGCCTTTGATCCTCTTACCGGTTGCCTTGGCCAATTTTGCTTATCCATCATGAGTTTTTGTGTGCTTGCTTGTGCTTATGTTATTGCGCTGCCTCACAAACTCATCAGGGGATCTGAGACAGTGATTGCTTTTTAGCCCTTGCCTCCCCGTGTCAGTCTTCTATGTTTCTCCAATCAGCTCACAGTCGCTTGTTCATTGGAAAGACTCCTTTGGAGCCAAGGCACAGACCACATCACCGTTCTTTGTAGTCTTTGATCAGTCCTTCCGTCCACACAGCCTTATTTTGCTGCATATGTTAACCCCTACTGTTTGGAGACTGGTAACCAATAGACACGGGTTTTCACTATTCTCCCACAGTTCGTTTTCCTTGTGTGCTCAGCCCCTACCTTCTCAGTTACCCACCCATGCCATTATCAGTGCTGCAAGAATTTCTATGAACTGAACTTTGGGTGTCGTGCTGTGTTCTTTCTCCTATCACTGTGCTCATCCAGAAGTCATATTATCTCGTCTCACCACAGCATTTCAAAAATCAGTTCTTTCCTCTTCCGAGCCACTAGGTTCTTGCGTCTAGAATTTCAAAATTCCTAATATTCTACTTTCTTCTCTGGCAAGCTGTTCCATTGCCTGTGTGGACTCTGAATATTGCAGCTCACTAGTTACTGCACTTCTCCTCACTCTCTGCTCTTAGTCTCTAGGCAATGTCCACTGGAACTTTCACAGATGACTCTTCTAATTCTTGTAGATTTCTGCTAATCAAGGACTTTAGAAAGCACATAAAATTCTCTGAGTAACTAGACATAGGCAGTTATTCTCTAGTATTTTTGGCTAAGGCCTTTTGCTGCATCAAGAATAATAGTAAATATCTGAGAATTTAAAATATTTTATTTACTTGTTTTTTTTTAATATTCATCTGCTACATTGTAAGCCCTATGATGGTAGAATACTTTCATCTATTTTAAAATTATTCCCCGGGGCTGTGCCTGATTCATAACAGAGGTTCACTAGATGTTTGCAAATGGCTGAATTCTGTGAATGAATGTGCTAATGCCCTAGTTTTCTTTTTGTTGCTGTGGTGAACATTATAACCCAATGCAACTTGGTGATGAAAGGATTTGTTTGGTTTACAGGTTACGGTCTAGCATCAAGGGAAATCGGTCTAGCATCAAGGGAAATCAAAACAGAATTTGAGAGGTAGAGACTAGAGCAGAGGCAGAGAAGGACCTCTGCTTACTGGCTTGCTTCTTGTGGCTTGCTTGGCTACTTTTCTTATACAGTCAGAGACCACCTGTCTAGGGATTGCAACCACACACTATGGCCTGGGGTTTCTTGCATCAATTAGTAGTTGAAAAAAATGTCCCCACAGGCATGTCCACAGGCCTGACTGAAAGAGGTAATTCCTCAGTTGAGGAATCTCCAGTTGGGTCAAGTAGACAAAAACTAACCAATATAGCTAAAAATAAAAACAAAAAAAATTAATTTGGGGAGGCACTGGTAAAGTGTTTATCATAAAAATGCTGAACTTGCTTTTATAGTTTTCTTAATTTAACATCTCAGCTATGTTACAGAGCTGACTGATCTTATCAAGTCAAAGTCGTCACCTGAGCAGAGTGGGGTAGATGACTCAGCTAGCTTTGTAGGCTTCTTCCCGATCTTTGTGTGGGCACTGAGAGATTTCTCCCTGGAGCTGGAAGCTAACGGAAAACCTATCACTGCTGATGAATACCTGGAACACTCACTGACACTGAAAAAAGGTACCCGAGTTTGGTGGAATGATCTAATACAAAGGGAAAACAATTTCATAAATGCCATTTCTGCTTGATTGACAAAGGTCTTGATTTTTTAGTGTGTTATCCTGACAGTTGTCATAGGAAATGAAACACAGGTTCGCTGAATCATTTGAAATTTCACAAGCTGCTGCTTCTTAGCGAAAGGATGTTTCCTTTCTTTTTCCTTTAAGTTTGTATCACTTGTCTGTATTAGGTGTTTTTCAGCTTACATAGACTTCATGGAAGTTATGGAATTGGAAGTATCATACATTGAAGTAGTTCATTTGAAGTTTTACTATATCTAATTTTCATTTTTGCAGGATCTGATAAGAAAAGTAAAAGCTTTAATGAGCCTCGGCTATGCATCAGGAAGTTCTTTCCAAAGAGGAAGTGCTTTGTCTTCGACAGGCCTGCTCAGAGGAAATATCTTTCCAAACTAGAGACAATTCCAGAGGAAGATCTGAGTGAAGAATTTGTAGAACAAGTTAGAGAATTCACCTCATACATCTTCAGCTCTGCCAATGTCAAGACTCTGTCTGGTGGCATCGTAGTCAATGGGCCACGTATGTCATCCCCTCTACTTCTTACGTGGGCTTCTCTTCTGCTCATTGTAGGATACTGAGTGATGTTGTCATTGAAAAAGTAGTGTGTTTATCACATGATGGAATTTATTTGGGAACTAAAGTCATTTCTCACCATCTCATATCTGTAATAGCAAAAAGGAAAAAGAGAAATGAACTAGAATCTAATCCAACCCTAGAAGGTTTTTCCTCTCACTCATGGTTCCCACTTAAAAAAATTAATAAAAGTCAGGAAAGTGAAAATACCATATTTGTGGAGTTTGCTACTTCAAACTTTCATGTACAGAAAAATGTTTAGTAGTGATACTAAAAATCTAACTATTGTGTTTAATGAGGGGTAAGGAGATGTGGTTTCCATCCTCCTTCCTGCACAGCGCAATAAAAGGACACGTTAAAAGGAAATAAACAAGAAACCCCAAAATTCATAGTGATAAATAGTAATTCATATAGTTAATAAAAAATAAGAAGTTGCTACATGGTAACAAGAGGTCTATGCAAGTGGGATCTAAGTCCAGGGAGTCAGAGAACACATTGGTTTAATAACCTGAGTGAGGTGAGAAGTTAGAAATGGGTAGCATTTACCCAGAAGGAGAGAGGGTAATGCCCGAGGTAACAGTGCAACAGAGGGAGGCCCAGAGCAGCACACAACCTTCTGACTTCAAGAAAGTCAGAGTCGGGTGATAGAAAGAGGACAGTGGATGGGAGAGTCCTCCAACTGGAGATGTGTGCAATGGTGAGATCCTGAAAAGACAGGAACACGATTTCCAGACATTTCAATTGGTTCTAAATTCTATGGAGGACTTGGCAGGCAGGAACTTTGGAGGACAAAGTAATGTTTTCTGGTTTACCTGCCACACTCCCTGGAGTATTCTGCATACAACACCTTGTTGTGTTATCAAGGAGCAGGGTAGAATACTGGAGTGTGATGCTTTCAATCAATCAACAAACTATGAGCAAACCTAGATATTTTGCTTATCTACTTACAGCTCTGTGGAGGAGTGTCTGGTATGATACCTTTATACAGACTAGAGAAAGTACTAGAATGATGCATCATTTTAAAAATAACTACAAAACACTGGCATAAAAAGCAAAACTGTTACTTTGGCTATTAAAAAATCAATAAAGAATAAAAGGGTAAATGAATGAGAAGAAAGAAACGGAGTGGGAAGAGAGGAAAGGGTAATAAAGAAACAAGGTTTGGTATCACAACTTTTCTCTCCAAATACTAGAACTTACTCAATGAAATGTCTATCTTTGAAAAAAATGAAGGAGAGTAAAAAAGAGGACTTAATATCCTCTGGATCTTAAGGTTAATAAATTATTATGCTGTTCTTGTTCCTCAGAGAATCCTGAAAACTGTACAATGCTTTTTCTACCAAATGACAGTCATTTTCTTAACTTTTGTAACAGGTCTACAGAACCTGGTGCTGACCTATGTCAATGCCATCTGCAGTGGAGAACTACCCTGCATGGAAAATGCTGTCCTGACTTTGGCCCAGATAGAGAACTCAGCTGCAGTGCAAAAGGCCATTGAGCACTATGAAGAACAGGTGAACCATAAGGCCCAGCTGCCCACGGAAACCCTCCAGGAGCTGCTGGACCTGCAGAGACCTATTGAGAGTGAGGCCATTGAAATCTTCATGAAGAATTCTTTCAAGGATGTAGACCAAAAGTTCCAGAAGGAACTAGGGGTATGTGTAGTACCGCAAATCATAAAACAAAGAAAAGCCTGGACCTTTTCTGGGATGAGCATTATTCAGTGATACCCCATGATATGCAGAGATTTGCAATGGTTATTGAAAGACTAGATTCTTCTGGACTTTGATTTAAAAAAGCATGACACTATAACTAGTCACATTTTGCATGCACACACACAAACACGCACCACACAAACACACACACACATACCTACACCTACACATATTCCATTTTTGTTAGTTTCCCCACTCTGGAAACGATCATCTCAGTCATTGAGGAAATTAATTACACAAATTTTGCATTTACAAAGGATCATTTCATTTACTTTTACATAATATAACATTTTTATTCTTTGAGAATTTTAAACATAATGTGTTTTTAATCATATTCACTTCTAACGTAGTTTTTATTGTCCAGGACTACACTGCTTTTATGCTCCCCACTTGTAATGACAAACCAATTGTAAGAATGCTTACAAACGCTTTGCCATTTGATCAGTGGCAATGTTTCTCAGATTACCAAGGCTGGATTTCACAAAGGACAAGTGGTTTCATTCAGAGGTTCTGGCAAAACAGGGTAGTCAATGTAAACAAGCAGTTGAGTACTCTCCAACACAAAGGAAATACAGGAGTTAATACTTAGTTACTTGCTTGATGTCATATGGAGAGCTGACTCTTCCGTTATCCTTTCCAAACACAGAAGAACTCATCATGCTATCTTCAATACTTTCATTAACTGATGGTGAGAAAATACAGGGAAACATTTCATAGTCAATTGCCCTTGACTGAGTGTTTTTATAGAGACTCTGGGCCTAGTATTCTGTATCAACTTATACAGCCTGAAAAGATATGTCTGGGACTGGTGGTGTTACCCCATCCTTATAGACAAGGAAACCTTAGTACACCTTAGTACACTAAAGACATGTTCATGAAGCCACAAAATCTACACAGGCTGGCCTAGGTCTAATTTTTCTAATCTGAAATGCTTCTTTCATTAGGGACTTCAGTAGATAGAGACTTGCCGTGAAACAGTGTCTGTGCTCTGAGAATCTCTCTGAAGCAGGAGAAAGGGGAGAAGGCTTCTAGGAAATAAAATTTGAAGTGTCAGTTTCTGTAGCCAGCACCCTCCTCAGGAATACATTGGCTCTCACAATGAGTGAAGAGCATGGCCCCATTTAGACATTCTCCAGTGGTCTGTTGTGTTATCTCCCTCCTCTCAACCATCTGTGTGATTTTGTTCTTACCCAGGCCCTGCTGGATGCCAAGCGAGAGGCCTTTATTAAGAAGAACATGGACGTGTCTTCAGCTCGTTGCTCAGATTTGCTGGAGGCTATTTTTGGACCTCTGGAAAAAGAAGTAAAACAGGGGACATTCTCTAAACCGGGAGGTTACTACCTCTTTCTTCAAAAGAAGCAAGAGCTGGAGAAAAAGTATAACCAGATTCCTGGAAAGGGGCTGCAGGTAAAGTGAGTAGCTGGTACCATGCAAAGGTGGCTTAGTGAGGAATCTCTTCTGAATGCTAGTGAGAGCAAGGAAGGTGCCCTGGTATTGGTGGAGAGTGCCCTTGTCTTACATTCTTCTCGGCAGAGAGCAAAACAGGAGATAACCAGCACCTTTCTGCTTGGAAACACAACAGGATATCTCAGAAATGTTTGCGGAATTCATTCATTGATTTATTTGGTTTTGTGTGACAAGGGTTTCTCAGGTTGCTAGAGACAAGAGGATTAACGAAAAAGGAAAACTAGTTAAAAGTTATGTTCATTCAAAGTACTTGGACAAATGACCTATAGCTGTCAGCACTTAGATAGCTCGCCCTGGGCTTTAGAGGTTTTTTCTCTTAATTCTTACATCCTCACATAAATCATGCCTTGTTAGTATGTCATAAAGAGAAACAGAAAATGAGGCAGAGTGAAGCACAAGACTCACTTAAAACCACACAGCTAAGGACCAGTAACTCTTGAATGCAATGCCAGCTGGTATCATCTGTATCCCTCAGTTCCAGACTGTTCTATGCTGATAATAGAGTGTAAGATTAGGTTTGACTTTGAATTATTTACAAACATCAATGTCTTTTAAATGGCTGAATATTTCTTGGTTTTTTTTTTTTCTGGGTATCGAGTCACACAGGAAGACCCCAGGGCTGCTGTGGTGGCTCCACCACCTAATTGTTCCCAAGTCTCTTCTTTTGTTCTCTAGAACATTAGTCCACGGACTCTATGTATGAGCTGCATTCATGCCCTGAAATAGCCGCTGGAGAGTCAGGTTTTACTTCAAATTTATACCTTGAAACAAAGTGAAGGGAAAAGGACAAAAAAATAGTACATCAACTCTTTTTAAAATTTCTAAAGCCCACCACGACACTTTTCTGACTGTATACCTTTTATAAGAATTTAATCCTATGAACATTCCAGACTTACAAGAGATACTGTATTTTACTATTTTGATAAACTATAAGTTAAAGATTTAGCAAACTGGTTAAAGAAACTAGACAGAAAGACAAGTGGCTATGTAGAGGTTGGAAATTTCAAGCAACAGAACTAGTTTATGAGAGTAAATTAATGTGTATTTGAGGATCAACAAGAAACCTGATGCTCTGGGAGATGGTGGGCAGAGCAAAGATTAACAAGAGATGAAAAAAGTCACAATCCAGACAAGGTGAATGTTAAAGGACAGTGAAAACTGTTTGTTGCTCATTTGGAGGAACTATAAAGTCATCTTAGAGCATTGGCATAATAGGAGTGTTCTTAATGTAACATGGCAAAGTTCTGGCTACTGTGAGTTGAATTATCTGCAGCAGTCAGGAAGCAAGACCTGGAACTGTGAGACTTGGATGCCACAGATGAAAAGCAAAAGACCGAGGTTGCAATGTTTGAAACTAGAGCCAACATGATCAATCAGCTCATGGTCACATATGAGATATGTGAAGCAACTAAGAAAAGAGATCAAAGATCCAACTAGTTCCAAAGATTTTCTAGATGCTAAAAGACAGGGATATGGAAAGTTTAGGATTTGGAGAGGGGTCTCTAAATCAGTTTTAGGTCAATTAAACATAAGAAGCTATTTGAATTGCTACTTAACTGGTAACACGAATGTCAGTTAATAGACACATTGGCTTGTCTTCAACTTATTCTATACTACCAGGCAGAAAACATGTTGAAAAAGTACTTTGACTCCAAGGACGATGTGGCTGAAACACTTCTAAAGGCGGATCAGTCACTCACAGAAGCAGCAAAGAAGATTGAAGGTGAGAATTGCTGAAGAAACTCCAGTGCTTGGAAACTCTTGCCACATTTAGCAGTTGTGATCCATATGCAATGTGGGGTTCCCCTCTGCATGCTGTGAATGTGTTCTGTTACCTTTGGTCAATAAAGAAGCTGCTTTAGGCCTCTGGCAGGGCAGAATGGAGCAAGGTGGGAATTCCAAGATAGAGAATAAAATAGGTGGAATCACAGAGACACCATGTAGCAGCCGAAGGAGACAGATGACCCAGAACCAGGTTCTGGTAAACCACGAGCCTTGTGGTAAAATATAAAATAATAGGAATGGGTTAATTTAAGATGCAAGAGTTAGTTAAGAAGAAGTCTGAACTAATAGACCAAACAGTATCATAATTAATATAGTTTCTGTGTGATTATTTTGGGTCTGGGTGGCCAGGAATGAGCAAACAGCCTCGGCCAACACATGTGAAATCATCATTGCAGAGAAAGGATCATAAGTATCATTCATGGTGTTTTGTATTTACACTGATATATATATATATATATATATATATATAGTTATTTGTTTCCCTATTAAGTAGTTATTTCCTGCAAAAATCATCACAAGAAATTTTATCAAAGACAAGAGAATTTTTTAAAGTAGAGAAAAAGAAACAAAAGTAAAGTCATAAAATTTAATGTTTGGATTCTTTGCTTTTTCTTCTCAGTGGAACGAATAAAGGCTGTAGCTGCCGAAGCTGCCAACAGAGACTTAGAAGAGAGGCAAAAGAAGTATGAGCTGATGATGCAGCAGAAGGAAGAGAGTTACCAGGAGCATGTGAAGCAGTTGACTATGAAGATGCAGCAGGAACGGGAACAGTTAATAATAGAACAGGACAAAATTATATCTCTCAAACTTCAGGTACTTAGTTACATCTTCTCAGTAAGTTCCTGTGAGCCAATAAAAAATAAGAGCAGCAGGGGACTGAAAAAAACCCAGCTTAGCAGTTAAAGGCACTTATTGCTCTTATGGAGGACCCAGGTCTGAGAAGCAGCACCCTGCACAGTGACTTACAACAGTCCATAATTCTAGTCCCTCCTCTGGCCTCTGCAGATAGTGCACATATGTGGTACATTTACAAACACTGCACGCAAAAACACTCATGCACTTAACACAAATAAATCTGGAAATCAAACAAGAAAACCAAAACGTAAGCTCATCAGGCTGAGGCAGGAAGATGACTGGTTCAAGTCAGCCTGGATTATGACTCTTGCCATGCCATAAATGGTTCAGATGCTCTGATACATTTCCCTTCCCTCACAGCTTATCTTTAGTCACGAGAGCTGTTTATGGATGGATGAAATCCTTTATTAGGCTATTCACAGATAGTGGCTAGGAATTACTCAGTGCTACTTACATGTCTCCTACTTATTTCCATTTAATAACTCGGGTCTCTTATTTTGTGCTAGATGAAGACATTGCAATTTTAGCAGAATACATGATACAATATATAGCTTATTTTCTTTGCTAAATGGGACCCACAGGGATTTCTTTTCTGCCACACCTAATATGACCTTGTGTTTGGAAGTATTCTAATGAATAGCAAGAGTTTCTAACCATCTACCCACTCAAACACATTGGTTAAGTACTCAAATTACAGGTTGTCCTGTTATTCATAAATTCCTCTATATCAGTTCTGAGTCTCAGTGGTATCCCAGAATATCCCATTAGGACCGCAGACCACAGTTGCTTCTGTATATTTCTGTCATCTCTCTCTGTTATTAAAATTTTGGACATGTTCTAAATTCCCTGATTGAATAACTGCCCTGGTTCTGAACCAAGTAGTAACCTTTCACTTGGTTTATACCCATCTTAGATGTGTTTGAGAGTTCAAATAACACAAACCAGAGATGAGGCAAGAAAGAAGAGGGAAGCTGGTGTTTTTATAGAAAAAATGTATTTTACTAAGTCACAGGAGAATTGTGGCTTCAAGAAAAACACCAAAATTCCTCCAGAAAATAATATAACTACCAGAGAGTCTGTGAGACACTCTGTGAAATATGGGACGCTGTCTGAGTTCAGTCTCCATCTCCATTTTAGGAACAAGAACAACTTCTCAAGGAAGGATTCCTGAATGAGAGCAGGAGACTTCATCAAGAGATCGAGGGCCTCAGGAGTTATGAATCATCTCCAGGCTGCACCATACTCTGAAGGTCTGAGTTTTGAACTGCTCTGCCAAGCAATCCTTTATCAAGGAGTACCTTGACTGAGAATCTGCAGCATTTGAAACAACTGCTATTAAACTCAACTCACGTCAACTCAAAATCACCTGCCACTCCAGGCTATGATCACTGTATGACCTTTGGGCAATGTCAGAGGAAGTCTCCCTCTGTGAAGAATGCATGTATGAGTAGAGACTTTGCCTTCTGTGTTTTAGAGGTCTCCTTGACCTACACCATCCCCAGGCCACATATGTTTCTCCTTTATAATCTTATCTTTTCTTCTCTCCTACAGTATAGTGTTTACAATCACAGAGCAGGCAACTTTTTGCTAACTCTCAAAATGAAGTCCTTTTCATTTTTCTGAGGACTCTGATTTTTTTCCTACAGTCCTTCAAAAACTAAACCCTACCTCCATTTTGCCTTTTATTTTCCGCCTGTGACATCATGTCCTGAAGTTTCTCAGGATAAATGTCTTACACAAGTTAATAAAAAGTATTAGCCCACTGTAATTGTTTCAGAATATATATTTAATTTGTACTTTCTTATAAGAAGGCTGCTAGTTAGTTCCCGGCTGCTCAGACCCAAAATAATCATTCAGAAACCATATTATTTGCAATAATGTTTGGCCAATAGCTCAACCGTATTTCTGGCAAACTCTTATATCTTAATTTAACCCATTTCTAGTAATCTGTGTATTGCCACATGGCTGTGGCTTACTGGGAAAAGTTCTGTCTGGCTCCAACTGGGCTACATGGCTTCTCTCTGCCTCTGCCTCCTTTCTCCCAACATTCACCAGCACACGCTAGTTATTTATTCTGTAATGCTGATTCTAACTGGAAAGAGATAGAGTTACATTATAGTATTAGTTGCATCTGTTCTGATGGCTAAATCAAGAATTTTTCGGCATCTAACAGGTTGGCAATGCCTTTTGGGTAGCACAAGAGGAGAGTTTACTGTTTAACATTGGAAATCACATCTGGGTAATGAAATCTTCAGCTAATTAGAGTTTATAGGTTGACTCATACACCAAAACTTTCCTTTGTTCAAAGTGTGTATTATATCGTTGGTGATGTAGCTCAGTTGGTATAGTTCCTAACAAGCATGCACACAAGGATGAAAGCTATGAGCTGAAGCAATCTAAGCTTCTTGTTCATCATTTTGCATGAGTAGGAAAACCAGTAGGTTCAGCTGCAGCTTGCTAAAATTCCTTTCAAAGCAGAGTAAGGAAGAATACAGAATGTTTTTGGAATGTTTAAAATATTTTACTGATAGTGATGAAGTAGAACGAGGGCATTGTGAGTCATGTATTCAGGCTAGAGTCTGAACTCAGGAATGTATCAAGCCCTGAAACTTAGGTTGGTCCATGGCGCCTCCCAGGAGGGAGTAATGGAACCAGGAGTTCCATGCTTGGGATGATATTGTCTTACCATCACAGTCTGGACAAACTGAGCAGCAAGACAAGTGGGTTGCAGCTACTGCTTACAGACCAGGATCTATAGCAACAGACTGCTAAATGCTTCAGTGGGACCTCTAGGAAACTGCAAGTAACTGAAGGCCTTACAGAGAAGAGCAGGGGTGTTGGTTTGTTCAGAGATTCTGATAGCGAGGGATTGGCTACCACTGGGATCTCACAGAGGCTCAGTGGCAGGCAGAGGAATACAAAAACCACACAGTGAAAGGAAACTTCATGTATCTTTCTTATTAAAGGCTGCTGTAGTGGAAATCCCGAGAGTGGGTTAACCATAATCACTTATGCTTAATGCTTAACCATTTGCTTAGCGAATATACGTGTCTAGTTCTAGTGGGCAGTGAGTTGAGAGGAAGTTTTCAGTTATTGATGAGAATAATTTTCTGTAATTTCCATAGACTGCATTCAACTTTGTCTTTGCCTGGATATAACGGTTAACAATGTGTGTCAACTTGGCAAAGTCTAGAATCCCCTGGGAGGCAAACCTCTGGGCTTGTCTGTGAAAGGATTTCAAGACTGGCTAATTGAGTTTAGAACACTCACATTGAATGTGGTCAGTCTCATTACATTGGCGAGATTCTCAGAATGAATACGGAGGAGGACTCCAGCTTCCATCTGTCTCTGCTTCCTGGCTGCAGATGCAAGGTGCCAACAGTCTCAAACTCCTGCCACTATGACATTTTCTCTGTGGTGGACTGTATCCTGTAACCAAGAGCCAAAGTAAACCTTCCATTCCTCAAGTTCTCTTTGTAAAATATTTTGTTGCAGCAGAAAGAAAAATAACAATTACAGAACATTGGTACCCACAGGGGCACCATTGCTGGGGTCCATCTGACCATGTGGTTTTTAGAGCATGCCAATTATTACGTGGCCTTTCAAGGCATTCCACTGCAGCCTAAATTACACATCCATGAAGACCGTGATAAGCAGCATTAAGCCAGTGTGCAGTTATTCTGTCATTTCAGACAGAATAACAGGAAGTGAATATGCTCTGGTAAAACTTGAGGGGGCATCCCAGGCCATCAGCCCCTTTCTCAGTTGTGGTTTTCTAGAACTAAACACAAGGATGTCAGTCCTTTGAAAATGTAAACAGAGAATGTGACCATTTTAGAGAAGCATTTGGGGCTTGCTCCAATCTGTTTCCACATTTTAGTTTTGTCAAAGTTACCATGCTATCATAGACTTAACATAAAATGTATCATTTAAAAAGTCTTAGCGATAAAATCTCTGGGCATGAAATACTGTGTGATGTCACAGCTCTTTAGTTTTAATTTTTCCAACATTCTAAATAGAAATAAAGTAGAATAAGTTAGGAAAACCAATTAGTAGTTTTACTTAAAACATGGTTTATATTGCTCTTTTCCATGCATGACTTCAGTTGCTACCTGGAACAGAACAACCTGGAGAAATTGTTGAAACAACAGGTCATTGGCCTTACCACCCTGACCCTGAAAGGTTCCAGCTGTCAAGTTGACCAATGCCTTTAAGACAAAAGACTGACTGACACATGCGCTCCTGTGAAGTCTCACTGGCTTTTCTGCCTTACCTTGTCGTTTTAGAGTTAACATGAGAATTCAAACCTGACCTGGCACAGAAGCCTTTCAGGAGTTTCCTGGATTCATCAGGGAGGGACATGTCCTGTCCGCTACTCTCAATGGTGTTGGCATGCTTATTAAAGAAATTCTACCTCAACAGAACCCCCAAGCCATTAAGAGTTTTTGTATAATATTTTTTCTGTCACCCCACCCCAGCTTCTGGAAAATTCTAGTATGCTTTCTAATTCTGTAATTTTAGCTGATTACTACATTTTATATAAATAGAAAGATAAAATGCATACTCTCCCTCTATCTCTAATCTTATCACAGTCTTTTGAGTTTTACTAATGTTCACATGTATTGATTCTTTATTTTATTGACAAATAATAGATGTTATTAGCATCACATTATATTTATCCATTTGTCAGTTCATCTTTTGCTCTGATTTAACCACCTAGCTACTATAAATAGTATTTTACATCACGGTTTGTGTGGGCACATGTATTTCTCTTCAGCACACACCAAGGGGGGCAACTGATGGATCAGTAGTAATTCTGTTTAACAGTTTCAGGAACTGCAAACCAGTCCAAAGTGCCAGCACCATTACACATTCTTCACTGATGGACGTGATCTGATTTCTTTGCATCTTTACTAATACCACTGAGAAAGTGCATTTACCCTTGTAAGAGGGAAGACAATGCCTGTGGTTTTGTCTTGAATGTCCTAAGTTTCAAAACCTAGAGCCTTAATATGCTTCTGTGTCGCTTGGTCACATAAAGAGATATCTCCTAATATGCTTTCGACACTCTAGTCTGCTTCTTTGAGTTTATCTTTCCATTTTAGTACCTCATATGACTCACACGGCTGGCTTGTATGTTCCCACTAAATATGTGATCTGTATTTCTTCACTTTCTTGGTTTTGTGCTTACTTTAGCTTGAATTGTGTTCTTATTTCTTGTGATTTTTTTTCTAATTTATTTTCCTTTTTTTTTTTTTTTTTTGAGACAGGCTTCCTCTGTGTAACAGCTCTGGCTGTCTTGGAACTCATTTTGTAGACCAGGCTGGCCTTGAACTCACAAAGATCCACCTGCCTCTGCCTTCCAAGTGGTGTGTTTTTTTCTATTATGCAAGAAGCTGTCGATGAAGTCAAAATATGACCCTGCGTTATTATTTAAGGTTTTAGTTATTTTAGCCCCTACAGTTTGACCATTGGTTCATTTTTTGGATGGTTCTATATTTAGTCAGTTATATGTATTGGTTTTCTTTGCTAGCTTAAAAAAAAAATACAGTACAGGTCTGAAGATATGGATCAGTGAATAAGACCATTTGCTACGCAAGCATGAGGACTTGAGTTCAGATCCCAATCCCACGTACCCATGCTAAAAAAAAGAATGTGGATTCTCATACCTGTAACCCTAGTGATGAGGAAGGGTGCAGAGACAGGAAGATTGCTGTGACTTGATGCCAGTCAAGGTCCAGGTCCATTGGGAGGCCCTGTCTCAAAGGAATAAGGCATAGCACATTCAGTGTGCATATACCATACGCACACACAAATATACATACACTAAGTAAAGTGAGCAAAGACATAAAAGATTTTGTAAAACTGTGTCACAAATGTGGTGTCTTTAAATAGCAAAATCATCCTCCTACGTTGTGTAGGGTGGTGCCTAAGCCAAGAGGTCACAGGTTATGCTCCCTCCATGTTTCCAGAAAGAATGATTCTATACCATGTTTCTCCCAGGTTCTAGGGCTGCCAGCTTTCCTTTGCTCTCAGCTACTCCCTGGTGTCTCCGCCTCCATCGTTACCTGGCCACCAACCCTGTGTCTACACCTCCTCTTCTGTCTCTCATACAAGGACACGAATTATGTTGTGGTTTACTCTGGTGAACCAGAATGGTCTTCTCTCATAATCCCCCCCCCCATGTCATCAAAGATTCTTTCTTTAAACAATATTTAAAGTTGTGGGCATTTTTAGATGAAACTGACTGTTAATAAATATTGTTAAATTCACTAGGGTGGAGTTCACTTTCACCTGCTTTTGTAAAAAATTTGCTTTCTGTGTTTCTGACGTATGTTTTTTTTTTCTTGAGTATCCTTTCTTTATCTTCTCCTTTTGACTGAAGTGGATGGTGTTTTATTTTTACATCTTATTTCTTCTGTGGTTTCTTTGTGAGGCCATTTTTAGTTATACTCACTTTTTAAAAATGGTTTAATTTTTATTTTTAATTGTGTGTGTGTCTGCATGTGGGCATGTGTTTATGAATGCTGTTTGCAAATTATTTCTTTTACCACTTATGAATAAAGAAATTCTGTGCACAAATATTAAAGGAAAAAGAAAACCTGAGGTGAGTCACAAGCGATTTTGAACACTAGCCACAACTCTCTTCCAGGCTTGACAAAGGGTGCCCTAGCACTGGAGTCGAGAATAGTTGTGACCTGCCTGGCATGGGTGCTGAGAACAAAACAGGGCCTCCTCACTGCTGATTCATCACTCCAGCCCTCTCAGTCATCTTCATATTGTTTCTCTATGCTTGCCATAGGCTTCCTGTCTTATCAAAATTTACTTCATATCTGTACCAAGGTAATTTCAGTAATCAATAAAGGATGCTAATGCTATTTTCTTCCGCTTTGTGATGCTATTTTATTTTATCATATCGGAATCGGTAAGAGTCACAATGCATGATAATAATTGCTTTTGAATCATATGATGTTTCAAAGCTTCAGAAACACATATATAAATAATAGTATACTGAATGAACAGGTTATATTTAGAAATATATGTATAAATATACACATAAAGATATCTATCTATCTATATTCATGTAACAACAGTCAATAAAAAAAAGGACTTGAATTTTAAAAAGACCAAAAAAGAGAATATAGGAAGGTTTAGAGAGAGGAAAGGGAAGAGAGGAAATAGCATGATTTTATAATATTCTCCAGAATTAAAGGATGTTGTAAGGGCCTTATTTGTTGGTTGTTGAGGAGGACTAGCAAGAGTAAAGAATAACTGTTAGAGTCAAAGTCAACCTGTGAACCCCACCTGGCCAAGGACAAAGTAACTTCCTGGAATGCTGGGAGCTGTAGTTCTTGGGAAATAACAAGCCACATGTTTTCACTCACCTAAGCAAGTTTACTTTAACCAACTACACTGGATGAATTTCATCACATGTAGACAGGAAATGTCAGGACATATGCTTCTCCCTGATTTGACCTGATGAGAAATGCAATGAATTATGGGTTTTGATTTTCAAACCCCCACAAACTGACTCATGGCCATTCCCTGGAAACCCAGGGGTGGTGGACCTGTTCAGAGTCCATCTACCTGGCCAGTATTTAATTAAATCTTGCTTCAAGTTTAACTCAAAATTATGGAACTGGATTTTCTCTCATGGATTTGGGGATTAACAAAACATAAGAAGAAGTTCAAGGACTAAAACTAGAAAGAAAAGACCAAGAGAGCTACAGAGTAAAGGATCAAAACACATGCTTTTGATTCATACACACTTTCATATTTTCTCTTTTTCTTCCTGCTCTTAAATTTGAAGGATAAAGAGAATGAGGAAAAGGAAGAGTTAGAGAATAAATAGAACAGAAACAGGAAGAGGGGAAAGGAGAAGAAAGGGAAGAGGAGAGACAGGTAGAGGAGAGATAAGAAGGGAATGGAAAGGAAGGGGAAAAGAGAGGAGGAGAGGAGGGGAGAGGAGGAGAGGAGAGGAGAGGACTGTAGAGTTACTTGTCAGAGGACTGAGTGCCTAGAAATGATTTCCTGATTCAAACAGAACATATTTTTCCCACTCTGGTGCCTGAGTTTCTGTGAAGAAATATTTGTTATGCATATGTTATGCAATCCATGTGAAGCAGCCAGCATTGAGCTGGAACATCTGTATTCTACTAGGGGCTTCTCCTAAGAAAATAGTAGGAACTTAAGTGCCAGGTGCTGGATTAGATGCTGTGTGTATAAAATGCCCTTTAGACATGCTTGCTGCATGTCTAATGGAACCACCCAGAAAACTTAAGTGTGTCTATTTTAATAATTCATAAAAATTATGCATTATGTCCTCTTTCTTGCTTTCTTAGACTACCCCAAATCTTCACTTTGTGGGGTCCCTCCCCAGACTAAAACTTTTGAGCCAAGACACCATGGCTAAATACTTAGTCTTCTGGCAATAGTTTCTGAAATCTTTTTATAGCTATTAGATCAGATGTTGCTCTCATAGTTTTGGTTTCACAGAGAGAAAACAGTGCTTCTTGTTTCCTTCTGTCATTCAGGTGTCTGAAGAACATCAGAATCAGAGGAAGAGCAGGCAGAGACAGACGGTAGTGGAAATCTACCTTTCAGTGGTGGGCAAAAGCAGGTAAGAACTTCTCTCCTTTTATAATTTAATAAAATTACTTTTAAAAAAATGACATGCCTGGAGGCATGAACCTTATGAATCAAAAAAAAAAAAGAACTTCTCTCCTTTTGCTAATACTGGGTATCAGAGTCAGAAAAGAAGCTCTTATTCCTGCAGATAAGAGCCACAGCACCAAGCAAAATTCACTCCCAGAGTCACATCCTGTGTTGACTTCTGATTCTTTGCTTGTTGATGACTGTAATTAGCCATTCCTCCCACTCTGGGATGGCAGGGCATGTGTGTTTCCTGATGTGAGAGTTTGTATGATTATGGGTCTCATGTTTTAATACAAGCAAATATGTCAACCTTTTCTGGTGTGATTTTTTTTCCCCTATGAAACAGAGAAACCCCATCCTGAAAGTGAATAAATACTTATTTATTTAACAAAACAAAAGAAATAATAAGTAGAGAAATCTACTTTCTCACCAAAGCAACTTTCTCTCCCACTCCAAAGAGACCTGCACTTTGAGAGGGAGTGAGGGTGATGAGATCTATGCAGGGAGTCACAAGGCTCAGTTCATTTCTTTAAAAAGTGATAGAAACCAATGGAGGCTACGCTGGGAAAGGAGTTCAGAGCATACCTCAACATTATCGGGCAGCAGGGTGTCCCCAGAGTCTGGGTTTGTATCAAACTTCACTCCGACAGATGCTTGGCTGAGCTAAAAGTCTGAAATGTCTCTGGATTGTCTTTTCTTAGAGCTTTCAGTGTTTTCAGGGACATGGGTTTCATTGTCATTGAGGGAATGTGCTGAGTTCAGTCAAACTGCAGGTAAGAAACTCAAAGGAACATGGATATGTTCTTTTAAGGAGAAGGTAAAAATAGTAAGTTAGAAGCAGGATAAACAGTCCCTTGACTGAGAAAAGGAAAGTGAAACTCAGAGACAGGAGAGGGGGGGTCAGGTGTCAGGTCCAAAAGAAACTTGGACAAAGGGCTAACTGAAGTAGCAATTAGCATAGCAAAGTGTCTGTTTTCCTCCTTTTTCACTCTGATTCCCTACCCTAAACTTCTCCAGCTCATGGGCTTCCCTTTCCCCAGCCTCTCCTTCCTATAGAACCCTGCCTTTTCAGTCAAGAGCCCTTTTGGCTCCCTCTCTCTTGGCCCTGTCATTCTTGGTCCTATTTTCACCCTCTCTCGTGATCCTCTCTCTTCTTGCTCCATTCTCACTGTTCTCTGTCCTTCTTCTCTTCCTCTCTCACTCTGCCCACCCCCAAACCCTGGCATGGCCTGGTTCAGTCTACTGCACATGTTTACTCTACTTTTCTCTCCCTTCTCTGGACTCTTCCAGATGTCTCTGGCTGTTCTTTCTGCCATTGCTACAAAAAAACCTTCCCCTCAACTGTGCCTTGGAGCATTCATGTTCTCATTTTCTACTCTGAGGTAAAAATCCACAATGAAGGGGACATAAATGAGCCCCTTTCATTGGGCCCAGCCTCTTGACCAAACCAAGCTGCTGCTCCGGCCCTCCTAAGGTATCTACTGATCATTGGTTTCTGCTGGCTTCTGCTACCCACCATATTCTACTCCAGATTCTAGAGTCTAGCTCTTCTTTTCCTCTATCTGCTATGCTTCTCCACTGTGATTCAGGACATCTGTTAGTCTCTCTGGCTCCTGGAATCTTCTACTCCATCTTGTGCGCTCTTTCTGATAAAAGCCACTGCCTTCTCCCTCTATTGAAACCCTCCTTCCAGGCATTCTCTCTCTGGTCCTTTTCCTTTCCTCCTCAGACTCAAAAGATTTTATTAAAGACCTGCTATCTTACTGCAAACTGCTTGGCCTCAGTACAGTTCAATGAAGGACCAAAAGTTGGTACACTTGATTTTCAAATTCTCTCATATTGTAACTACTTCTGCTGCTACACAAACAAATGATCCCCAAATCTTTTATGTCTAAATTTTCTCTTCTCTTCATTTCCAAAATTCTATAATCTCTAAGCTTTTTCTACTTTTCACACTTGAAAACATTTATATCTATGATTTTTTCTCTCTGTTCTGAAAGAAATCTTTTAAGACTATGGTATAAACTCATTTACCTCAAGATTTTTTTAAGTTCTTTGGGTATGTTCTAAAATCTGTGAAATCTATAACAAAAAGTTAACTTAAAACTTCTACCTTAAGGCCGATAGTTTAAAAATCTATACATATGCAATCTTAATTTATTACAGTATTATTATATAAGTAACTTGGATTCAACTCTTATTTGGAAAACCAAATCTGCTACAGCTTGGATTAGATCTATGGTTTATTTGCTTGGATTCAATTCTTGTTAGGATTGAATAGATGTTTTAAAATAGCAGCTATGTGACTCTCCTTCATCTTAGCTGATGACCTTTTCAGGACAGAAACAACCATGTGATATATTAGTCAGCTTCAGGGTAAACAGGCCCCTGAGAGAGAAATGGAAAGTGAAACTCAGGGACAGGAGAGGGGTGTCAGGTATCAGGTCCAAAAGAAACTGGGACAAACAGCTAACTGTGGTAATATTTAGCATAGCAAAGTGTCTGCTGGCCTTTACCTCACTCAATACCTGTGGCTCCAACCATATTCCAAGGTGTGGTTGAGGGGAAGGTTTTATTGTAGATATGATGGAGAGAACAGTCAGGGGCATCTGGAAGAGTCCAAAGCTGGGAGAGAAAGTAGAAGAAATTCAGTCCCAGAGACTGAACCAGGCCATGCCAGGAGTTTGGGGGTGGGGAGAGTAAGAGATGAAGAGAAGAGAAGAGAAGAGAAGAGAAGAGAAGAGAAGAGAAGAGAAGAGAAGAGAAGAGAAGAGAAGAGAAGAGAAGGAGGGAGAGAAGAAGGGAGAGAGTAAGTATAAAGTAAGTCACATGGTTGGATAAGCAATTTATTGGTAAAGCAACCATATTTACTAAGGTTAAAAAGAGTACTTGACATGTAACTTCATCACCAACTTTATTAAAACGACCAACTACTATAAACCAACTAAGACAACACTCGTAAAACTTCTTAGTCCTACTGAGCCCTCAAATTATTGTTGTATCTTCCTTTTAAACTAAGAAAGCAACAGCAAGTACCCAAAATATTTTGGATTAGGATGGTATCTTGGAGTTATTATTGTGGTGACAAAACACTATCAACATATTTCTTCAAATATTGCAGTTTTCAGTATTTGCTTTCACATTTTCTCTGGTTTAAGTTCATGTAGTTTATGTTTCAGGGTGCAACTCTTTTTATTTTAAATATTCTTTCATTTTGCATACCAACCACAGTTCCTCCCGTCCTCCGCTCAGACTGCTCTGCCCACATCCCTTCATCCCACCTCCATCCACTCCTCAGAGAGGGTAAAACCTCCCATGGGGAGTCAACAAACCCTGGCAAATCAAGTTGAGGCAGGACCAAATTCCTCCCCACTGCATCAAGGCTGAGCAAGGTGATCTCCCCAAAGCCAGCTCTTGAACCAGGGATAAATCCTAGTCCCACTGCCCGGGGCTCTACAAACAGACCGAACAACATAAATGTCATCCACGTTCAGAGGGCCTAGTTTGAGCCAATGTAGGCTTCTCAGCTGTCAGTCCAGAGTTCATGAGCTCCTACTTGCTTGGGTCAGCTCTTTCTGTGGATTTCCCCTTCATGATCTTGATCCCCACTTGCTCTTATAATCCCTTCTCCTCCTCATTGATTGGACTCCAGGAGCTCAGTCCAGTGCTTGGCTGTGAATCTCTGCATCTGCTTCTGTCAGTTACTTGTTGAAGATTCTGTGATCCTCTCTGGTTTAAGTTCATTTAGTATATAGCTAATGAAGCTTATGTTTCATGGTGCAGTGTTTTTATTTTAGAATATGTATCCTGACCACAGTTTGCCTTCTATACACTCCTCCTAGCCCCTATCTCCCATATCCCTATCTCCCAGATCCACTCCTCTTCTGTTTCTCTTCAGATATCAACCCAAACATAGGTATCAACCAAACATGGCATAACAAATTACAATAAGACTAGGCACAACCCCTCATATCAAGACTGGGCAAAATGGAATGTGATGTCTAGCCTATTTTTGCTTTTTTTTTGGTATCTTTTATTGAAGCAGTTTTCAGAGTAACCTAAACCATTTCCTGAATCATCTTTACTAACTGTCCTAACCACCGGTATCTTTAATCATTGATCCAACTAAGCATTGTTAAAATGATAAACAAGATAAAAATCATCTTCATTATTATCTGCAAATAAATTGTCCAATGAGGAGTAGGATTTTCCCATGAAACAATCACATTATACTAGACACAGTGGGATTCTTTCACATAGTAATAACACCATGCCAAATACAGTAAGAACATGACAGCAACAAGCAGGAGAAGGTACAGAAGTAAGGGACATTTTGGAAACAACCACTATGGGACTTTGCTTCTCTGGGGTGCACTCATCATAGCTGTGGTGGGTTGTGCTCCATAAGCTCCACTGCTGACTGCAGCTCCTCTGACAGGTCTTGCTACCTAAAGTCTCCAAAGAAGACAATGCGGGCACAGATAACTCCACCCGGATTGTGGTAAAGCTAACCATTGGAGAAAGAACTGCCCAATGCTGCACCCTCCACCAGGTTCCTGCCCAAACTCTTGACACAGTTGTGTTGACTTCCCTACTCTTCCTTGCTAAGGTTTTCTCAAGTTTTTCCTTCATGGAAAAAATCTCTCAGACCTTCTGAGTTTGGTAGCTGAAGGTTAATGCTGTCACAAGTGACAGTTGAAGACCAACAAACTTCCCCCTCAAAAGATTACAACAGGTAAGTCTAGGGTAACCAAATAGCTATGTCTGTCATTTTAATTGATACAGAGGACATTTGGATTATACTTCCTTTTAGTTTATCCTTCTCAGATCTCTGATGATTTTGACGGTAGCAGTATCTTTATCAATTTTACAGCAGCAAGCACCCAACTCCTCCCACAAGGCTTCAGCTTTCTGGTCAGTTCATTTCATAAGGAAAAATCTCACAGACAGCTACCTTCCTGGTAGACTTCCTTTTAAAGAGATAAACTCACAAAACAAGTTTCAGCACAACTTAACTATTCCTTTATTTGAAGGAATTTGCTTTACAATGGCTGCTCTCGTAATCAATCACTTGTGTCTAATGGTAAATGATTGAATGGAAAAGGAAAATGGTTGAAGTTTAAGTAAGTTGTAAGGCTTGAAGAAAGTAATTTATGGTATGTGAGTACAAGTTATAAATGTTTGAAGAAGTGATCTATAGTAAATAAAACTTGAGAAAAGTTTCAGATTTCTTTTTCTCTCACTCTGTTATTATTGCATTAATACTTCAAAAGTTCAGTTATAATATTAGCAATTCTAATGTGCTGATTACTAATATCATATCACAAGTTCAAAAATTTAAATTTCCTTTGGTTGTCTTCTAAGTATAGATGTAAAAGTGATTCTCAAAATAAGTATTCCTGTCATTAACAATCTAAGATTCCCTGCCTAGTGTCTATTCATGAGGATGGGTTCTCTCTCTTTCCCTCCCTCGCTCCCTCCCTCCCTCCCTCCCTCCCTCCCTCCCTCTCTTTGCTTCCCATAGTCTTGGAAGTACTTCAATACTTGCAACTACCAGGATCACAGGCCTTAAAGTTTCAAGTATTCACTCAAGTATTTTCTTCTGATGACCTTCCTTAACTTTACTCTCTATCCATAATCTATACTTATCCTGACAAATTTCAAACCAACTGAAGGCTGCAAACTTTTCTAAATCAGAACCAGTGAACCTTGGACTTCCTGGAAGTACTAAATGCTTCTGAGGGAATTTCCAACCAGCCTGAACCCCTGAATCCCATACTGCTCCAAAGCATGCTGCACTTTTCTGGCCTCAGGCTGTACTGCAGATCCTGGGCAGAGAGCTAGCAAACAGCAAAATAGATGTTTCTTGTCATTGCCTGACTCTCTCCTTTCCTGGTCTTTGACTGGTGTTCCAGACTCCTGGACCCTGACAATGACATTCTAAATTCAGTAGGAAGTAGTTACAGAAGGGATACACTTCCCCTTATCAGAAGGAGTTGTAGAAATAGCATCGTGACAATGACATTCTAATTTCAGTAGGAAGTAGTTACAGAAGGGATACACTTCCCCTTATCAGAAGGAGTTGTAGAAATAGCTTTATGTACTTACTTTCTTTTTTGAAAGTTGATTACTTAGAAATAAGCCATGCTTCACCAGAAGCAGACTCCTAGGACTTACTTGTTACCTTGAAAGTCCAGCTTCAGGCTGCACACAGCACTGTCTCATCTCTAGATGCAATTGTTGCTGTAGTCACAGTGACCAGTCTGTAGCCACGGTCAGATTTGATTCTCTAGCCTGTTAATTTATCTTCTGCATTTTGTGGTATATGCTTCACTCACCACCTACTTCTTTGAGCCCCCTCTCCACATATATTCGATACACACACACACACACACACACACACACACACACACACACACACACCCCTCTTCTCCTTCTCTCCTCTCCTCGTTCTCTGTTTCTGTCCTCTTTATTCTCCAACTTCTCCTTTTCCTCATTCTCTTTGCACTTCAAATTTAAATGCAGTAGGAAAGAGAAAACCTGAGAAAGATATGTACATCAGAAAACACAAATTTTTGTTTGTTTGTTTGTTTTGGTAAGGAGATCACTTACATTTTAGGCTTCTTGATATTTTCTTTCTAGTTTTAGTCCTTGATTTTTTTTCTCTTGACATGTTTTTCTCTACTCTTGTTATTTTTTCCTCACAGCCAACAAATACAACTTCCTTTTACTGCTGGGATTATAATATAATCATATCATTTCTCCCTTCTCTTTATTCCCTCCAGACCTTCCCATATACTCTTTCTTGCCCTCTTTACAATTCATGTTCTCTTTTATCATTGATTGTTATATGTGCATCTATATATGCATTTATCTATTCCTAGACCCATACCTATACTTATATCTATTCCTAAATAAAACCTCAGTCTATAAATATTACTGATATATGTTGTTTTCAGGCAAACCATTTTATATTGAATAACCAATTGAAAAACAACTCTAACCTGCATAAGTGCTGTCTTACTCAATGTGAGTAGTCATCCTTCTGACTTCTTCTTCAATGCTGGAGATCAAACTCTGGTCTTTTGAGAGGGAAACAAGCATTCTGCTATAGATCTACACCCCTTTCCCTTTCATGCTTCTTTATAAGCCTTTTTTAAAAAATTTCAAACACTTTAAATTTACTTTATTTTGGCTTGGATACAGTTGTTAATAAAGAATTTTTAGGCAGGACATAAATGGGGATCTAAGATTAACAATTTTCTGATTCCATAAAATAGACTTTGGAGTAACGTCCATGGTTATTTAAACCAAAAACTACACCTTTTCTTACATAATATATCCTGATTATGGTTTCTCCTCCCTATACGCCTCCCAGTTCCATCCCATCTCCTTTCTCATCCAGATCCACCCATTTTTTGTCTTACATTAGAAAATAAACAGCCTTCTAAAGAACGATAATAAAATAAAATAAGATAGAATAAAATTTTTTAAAAAAGAGCACTTGTTGATCTTCTAGAGAACCTGGGGTCAATTCACGGAACCTAAATGGTAATGTGAAACTATCTGAAACTTCAGTTCCAAAGAAGTGATGCCTTTTTCTAGTATCTGCTCCTATCCGGTAACCAAGTGGTATACAGACAAACATGCAGGAAAAACACTCAAACATTCAGAATTAAAATTAAAAACAAAAACTTTAGTTCAATGAATACACAAACATAGATATCTTATATATACATACATATATATATAATGGATGATAGATGGAGAGATAATACATAGAAAGATTCAAGATAAATATATATAGATAGATAGATGCTAGATAGATAGATTGATAAGAATTTTACTAAAAGACATTCTACTTTCTGCTTAATAATGTAAACTGTTCAATGAGAAAACTCAAAGAAAATTTTTATTTTTTTACTGTAAGATGCCTAAATATTTTTGATCATCAGAATTCCCTAATGCAGACAAAATGTTTCCATTAAATTATTTAGCTTTTGACTACTTTTGAAGTATACTATGTCATTATGAAATTATACAAGTGTTCATTTCATTTCTTTCCCTGGTGCATAGCTTGGGGTATGGTGAATCTCATAGCATTCTGAAGGCAGACAGACTGGTGCTCTCTCGGCTGAAAACCTAGCATTCTCATTAATCCCTCGTCTTTTCCTCTGCAGTCAAGAAACCCCAGTGGACATGGCATCAGAAGTTCCCGTGTGTCTCATTGAGAATGCGAAAGGACAACTGAGGCCGAATCAGAAGGCCCTGGAGATCCTGTCGGCCATCACACAGCCTGTGGTGGTGGTGGCCATTGCAGGTCTCTACCGCACTGGGAAATCCTACCCGATGAACAAACTGGCTGGGAAGAACACAGGTGAGTGCCTCCAACACAGCTGTGCTGGGTCCCCTGGGTCTACCCACACTGTCATATTGCAGCATAGGGTATTAGAACAGGAAGTTCAAGGCAAAGATAAAAACTGAAAGGTAATTGTTAATCCATAAGGGAGACAAGCGAGAAATTATGCTTAAGATTAATTTATCTTAAAGAGCTTTGTGCTGACTATATCTGAAAATCCAGATCAGTTTTGTGCACTTTGCTATAATCAGAAAAAGAAGCGACAGATGTTGTTTCCTCAATTTATCTTAATTTCCTGTTTAAAAAGTGTAATGTTCTTGCTGCTTAGTAGAATAAGCCAGTAGATAATACAGACTATCACTATACTTGCATTTCAAAGTCACAAAAATAGTAAGATATTCATGTGTCAACAGTAAGCAACCACCCTCTGTGGAGGAAACACAAAAACTTTCAACGTAAATGGAATATTTCATTTTCACTTTTTCTTTCCTTTTCTTTCTTTTTAGTGATTAATATTTTTATTCATTTTTTTTACAACTTTACCTGTTTATACCAACTCTGGCCATGATGTCACATTTTTTTAAAAAAAAAAACCCGTGATTGACATTAACTCCTGTTTCTATTTCCAGAAGCACCTGCTAAGAAATCTCTACCCTTGTCCCTCCTCTGCCCTTTGCAGGCTTCTCTCTGGACTCCACGATACAGTCTCACACCAAGGGGATCTGGATGTGGTGTATGTCTCATCCCCAGAAGCCAAACCACACCTTAGTTCTGCTTGACACAGAAGGACTGGGAGATGTGGAGAAAGTAAGGAAGGGGAACAGTAAACTGGATTAAGCTCCTTTATTCTCGTTGGCCTCTAGAGTACCTAGATTTTCCTTACATGAGAACTCCCTCTTAATCACAGTGTGTCTTTTGATTCTGTTCACTGGTGAAAAGTTTGATAACTAATGTGGAAAAAGATATTTAGAAGCCAGGATTCTAGAAGGCCGTGAGCATCATGGGACAGGACTGTCATCATTAAGGGAGTTAATAAAGTTAATGTAGATGTAGAAAGATGTTGTGTTTCCCCCAGAGAGAATGCTGGTTAAGGATAACTGAGATTCTGAAGTGATTCTTTATTTTCAGCAACCAGTCTACCCCTTACAAATTCTGTGGTTTCAGCCATGCATATAATTTATGTGTACCTTCCACTTTTGGGTAAAATGATTGTGATAGGTCTCTATCACAATTACAGCACTGTTCATTTTGTAAGACTAGCAATATAGTGTAGTGGGTAGTAAGGTTGCCATGCGCTGCTAAATAACCCTATAGGCTATTATATAGGATTACAAATGAGCCTAATTCAGCAGTGGAAAACACACATTCATGTACTCCGTCAAATAAAGGGAAGTCAGGAAGACAAAGGCTGGTGGGATAGGAACAATAGAAGGTAAGGGGGAAAAATAGGTTCCAAGCTGATTCTATTTGTGGATGAAAAATGATTTAAATTTAAAGCCTTAAATATGTAATAATTTCTCAGAACTTTAGGTATTATTACTCTTACATGGGGCAGTTAAACCTTACATGAAGGGAAACTTTTAAGATTTAGTGAGATTTTGAATCTCCACCAATCTGGACTGTTAATCAAAACTATTCACTAAAGGACAGAAAAAGCCTATTAAGCTGGCAAAATGACCCTAATTAGAAATGGCACATTCTCTGAGTTCTACTAATAGGAACATAGCTCCATAGTTTGATTTTTCTTACAGTCCATAGCACTAGTTCACTCTAAACAAAATCAAACAAACAAAAAAACACAAACAAGAATCAAAAAACATTTTGGAACACTTCATCTAGAAAGGGATGTTCTGACTTCCAGGGTGACAACCAGAATGACTGCTGGATCTTTGCTTTGGCAATACTTCTAAGCAGCACCTTTGTGTACAACAGCGTGGGACCCATCAACCAGCAGGCCATGGACCAGCTGCAGTATCCTTTCTGTGATGTAGAACATCCCAGTCTGGGAATGCTGCAGAGTCAGTGTTGACAGATAGGAGAATAATCCTAGCACAAGAGGAAATCTCATATACCAACTAATGAGTTCACACTTGAGCCAGAATATGGTATATGGCAAAAACATGCATGGGGATGGAAGAGACCAGTGTGAGGTGATAAGATTGGGAACCCTGTTCATTCATCACTTTTCCTTAGCCACCCAGCTATGTGACAGAGTTGACAGATCAGATCAGAGCAAAGGCCTCACCTAACCAGCAGGATGAAGTGGAAGACTCAGCTGAGTTTATTAGCTTCTTCCCTGACTTCGTGTGGGTTCTTAGGGATATAACCCTAAGACTTGAAGCAGATGGACAGAGCCTCACAGCAGATGAGTACCTGCAGAATTCCCTGAAGCTCAAGCAAGGTACAGAGAACGGTGATTGGAGTACAGAGGGGAAAAGTTCCGTGAATTTGCATTTTATGCAGGTTCTTGGATTCGACTTTCTCTTGGATTTTTAGACTGTGTCTGAAATGATTCCTGTTTAGTATCTGTCTCAATATGTCAATTTTGATTGTTGTGTTCTCTGGTAATGGAGACACATTTACTCTAAACTGTTATCAGAATGTTTTAATCTCCCTTTTAGGTTGTGTAGAGATGTACACCGTCAAAAACATAGAGCAGAAAGAACATCTGTTAGGAAATATTCATAAATTACACATTTACACCCTGCTAGCTGTGTGGCTATATTTTCTTTACTTTCTCCAGAAATCAGCGAAGAAGATAAAAATTACAACCTGCCCCGGTTTTGTATTCGAAAGTTCTTCCCCAGGAAGAAATGCTTTGTTTTCTATCCACCGACTGACTGGAGGAAGCTTTCTGAGCTTGAGAGCCTAAACAATGATGAGCTGGATGCTGACTTCATGCAGCAGGTGGCAGAGTTCTGCTCCTTCATCTTCAGCTCTTCCAAGGCTAAAGCTCTCCCGGGAGGTGCTGAGGTCAATGGAGCTCGTGAGTTTCCTGTCAGTCCTTCTTGATAGCTTTAGAGAGCACACATTTGGAAAATGATATAACATCTACCTAACTTCAGTTTTAATAATTTTATTAAATTCCCGATGATCTCAGATTATACTTACTGCCTTTGAAAATCAGAACTCTGGCTGGGAACATTTATACCGATAGGGGAAAAGATATTTTACCTTCAATATTTCTATGCTTACTTGTAGTAAGTGTTGGGTATTTAGACTATCAAATTGGGCATCAAAAGACATATGCATGTATACTCAGCGTAAATTTCATTTAATTAAAATAGATTTAAAAATTCAGATCATGTACCCACTTTGAATGTTCAGTAATTATCTAAGACTGTGCCAATAATTACGGGAATCCTAGGTATAAAGTAGATTCTTTAATTTCAAGCTCTGTTTGTCAATGCTGAGCTTAATCAAACCAAGTAACACACTTCATTTGACTCAGATTGTATTGTGTGTTGCTTACACAATGACTAAATCCTACCAGAACCAATGTTTAAAGGATGGATGATACACACATTAATGATGAGAGAACAATCTTGTTTTAAGGGTCCCAAGTCTAACTGGATACAAAATAACCCAGACTTATTTTATATTAAAATAAGTCTGCTCACAAATAACCTGAGTAGCTTGCTAAAGGGAAGGTTCTGAGGCAGAACAGATGCTTAGATTAGACAAGAACCTGATTCAACACCCAGAAACACAGACACCAAATAATTAACAAGAAAATTAATTAATTTAGCAGATAAATACAAAATAGCTAGGGTATACTTCAATTGATGGTCACTTGCCTCACAAGCATGTGAGAAACTGGTCACCGGCAACACAGTCAATACAAACAGACATTTTGCTATTTTGCATCAGTCAGAAATTAGCAGGCCATGAGTGTTCTGAAAGTTCAGTGCATGTTTGAGAATCAAATTAGAGTAACTCTTCTGTGCAGTGTTGGCTCTGTAGACATTACACCCCTGTGGTGTCGCAGTGACCATAGTGAAGCTGGTCTTGCTAGAGTGCCTCGGTGATAGAACAGGATTCCTATGAAATTGCTGGTGGCCTTGCCCAGTATTAGTGGTCAGCACAGAAAGGCGTGTTGGTAGATACAACCCATCTCTCAAGACATTTCATCTCACCTTGGGCAAATAATTTCAGGAAGGAGGCTGAAGTAGAAAAATGTAGGCTGTGGGTGCAATAATTTCCTCACTCCCAAGCCCCCCACTGCACCCCTATAAAGAGTCCTTGGAAGCTCTTTCTCCTGGAAGACTCCTTAGTTTCCCCTGAGAGAGAGGTTACAACTTACTATGTATGGTACTAAAAATAATGCTGTCTGTTGTAGGTTAGATTATGGTCTCTGTCTGTCTTCTGTCCCTTTATGCTGCCCCATGACTCTAACAAGCTCACTGTCCATTAACTGTTGTCTCTTTGCCTTGTAATTAAAGAGTTTTGACGTGGGCTCGACTTGGAAAGTGGGTTCACAAATTAAAGCATTTAATAAGCCACGTCATTTAGTTTCTGTGCTAAAATGTTCTTCTAAGAGACATTTGAACATAATACTTGAATCATTCTTTTAATTTTATAATGTAATGAATTAAAGAACAATATAATACAAAATGAATAAGAAAATGGTTATGATATTCCATAAAACAGGGTTCATAGAAACAGGATGTCCATGGGGACAAAGAGGAAGAAAGAGAGAAATGAAAAAGATGTCTTTAGTATAATGTGCTATTTAAGCGTGTAGACCATAAAACAAAATACAAATGGGAATTGTACCTGTCATGTCTCATCAGAACTGGGGATTCTAGTGCAGTCCTACATAGATTCCATCAACAGTGGGACTCTGCCTTGTTTGGAGAATGCAGTGATGATCATGGTTGAGCATAAAAACCAAGAAGCTGTCCAGAAGGCAGCTGAGTGCTACAATGTGCAGATAGCCCAGAAACTCAGGCTCCCTACAGACACACTCCAGGAGCTGCTGGATGTGCACACAGCCTGTGAGAAGGAAGCCATTGCTGTCTTCATGAAGTACTCCTTCAAGGATGACAAGCGGGAGTTCCAGAAGAAACTTGTGGTAATATACCTGAACATTTTTCCTTACTGTTGCCTGCTCTTCTTTCATATGACTTTGACCCTGCACTTAAAAAATTAATATTTAATTAATTAATATTTAATTAATTTTTTTCCAGCCCTATCACATTTTCCTCTCCCTCTCTTGTCTCCTCCTAGTTCCTCCCCCGATTTCTCTTGTTGTCTGAGGTTTCTGTTCTGCCCAGTCCCAGAGAAATCACACAGAGGTCTGCATTAGTTATAAACTGATTGGGCTAGTAGTTCAAACTTCTTATTAACTCTTATAACTTAATTAGCCCATTATTCTTCTCTATGTTAGCCACATGGCTCGGTGCCTTATTCGACAAGGCAGTCATATCTTGCTTCTTCTGTGGCTGGGTCACAACTGCAGACTAGGATTTCCTTCTTCCCAGAATTCTCCTGTTCTCTTTGACCTGCCTCTACTTCCTGTCTGGTTGTCTCGCCTATGTTTCCTGCCTGGCTACTGGCCAATCAGCATTTTATTAAAATACAATTGACAGGCTACAAGCCATTGTCCCACAGCATTCCATCCCATCCACTCCTCTTCCTTTTTCTTCAGAGAAGGTCAGTCTTCCCATGTGTAACAGCCAATCACGCTATATCAAGTTGCTACTCCTTACTAGACTAAGCACCTTCTCTCCTGTTATGACTGAATGGGGGATGAGACAAATCAGTAGGCGGAAGAGGTTCCAAAGGCAGGTAACAGAGTTGGAGACAGCCCCCGCCCCCACTCTTAGGAATCCAACAAGAAGAACAAGTTACACAACTGTAATATATGTGTAGATGGCCCAGGTCTGTCCCATTCAGGCTCCCTGGTTGTTGGTTCATTCTCTGTGAGCCCATGTTAGTTGAATCTGTGGGATTTCTTGTGGTGTCCCTGACCCTTCTGACTTCCACAATCCTTCCTCCCTCTCTTTCACAGGATTCCAATGTCCACCTAGTGTTTGGTTGTGGGTTTCTGCATCTGTTTCTATCAGTTGCTGAGTGAAGAATCTCTGATGACAACTGGGTTAGGCATAAATCCATGCATACAGCAGAATACTATTAGGAACCATTTCAATGACTATGTTCTTCTTTTGCCAGTCATATTTGGTTCTATCCTAGGTTTCTGGGTTGTTCACTCTCTGGGTTCTGGCTGTCCTGGCAATGTCAGGGGTGAGATTCCTTCTCATGGTATGAGCCTTAATCTAGACCACTTATTGGTTGGCCCTTCCCATAATTTCTGTACCACTTTTACCCTTGCATATCTTGTAGGTAGGGCAAATTGTAGGTGAAAGGTTATGTTGGTGGATTGCAGTCCCAATAACTCCACTAGAAGTCTTGTCTGTTCACAGGAGATTACTGGTTCAGGTTTTATATCCACCATTGCTAGGAGTTTGGGCTAGGGCCACCCTCATAGACATTGGATTTTTTTTCTCAAGTTGTGTCCTTCTTATCATGGAAGGAGGTAGGGTTATTAAGAGCAACAAGATTTGTCAAGGAACTTTGGAAAGGTGAAGTGGCTAAAGAGGTAAAATGTGGCACTTAATTTTCATCAGCAGCTTGAAACAATGTGCATCTATTGGGTCTTGCTGTTGAGATACAGCACAAAGCATCGCTGTATACCTAGCTAAAGCAAGGGGCAAAAGGGGCTTTCACCTAGGGGCTCTAAGAACTCCTTCAATATTCAAAATATAAAAAATGTATTCTATCTTTCCCTGTTTCTTATCCCTCTGAATTCCCTTGTCTATAATCAACTATAGACAATCGATTTTTTATGACTAGTATAGTTAAATAAGCTCTTTGTCTTCAGATCACCCAAAGCTTATAAAATAATGAGTATCTATCATTTATGTCAGTTCTTCTCAACCTGTAGACTGCAAACCCTTTGGGTTGAATAATCTATTCACAGGAGGTCACATATCAGATATCCTGCATATCTGTTATTTACATTACCATTCATAACAGTAGCAAAATCATTTATGAAGTAGCAACAAAAAATAAATTTATGTTTGGGGCTCACAACAACATGAGGAGCGGTAGGAAAAGACTGCAGCATTAGTAAGGTTGAGAATCACTGTTTATGGCATGTTATGATACAAAGACACCAAGGAAAGGAAAAGAACTCTAAGACTTCCTCCTAATTTTAATGACCAGAGACACTGCCACTGAAAGTTTGCCTTTCAGTCTTTCTTTGAACATCTTACAAGTAATAAAAAATATATTAATTCATCCTGAAGAAGAGAGTCTGATTGCAGTTTACAAGAATCCACTTTAGCATCTTCATCCTCTGCATCCTTCACTCTCCCTGAAGGAAGGAATGAAGCACTCACTACTCCATTCAGAATGAACCTACTCACAACTGACAGGTGGATTTGCTGTGCAGATATTTTCACCCACACCAAAGCACATTCTCCGAAGAAGCTGTGTCCCCTCCTGGTTGGACTTTATGTTCTTTATTGTGTGGGAACCTCTTCTTCTGAAGGACACGGAGTTCATGACCATACAGTTCACTTTCATAGCTCTTGAGCTTGAGGCCAAGGAAATTAGGGAGGTCTCTGGAAGTCACTCAGAGCTGACCAAACCAGGAATAAAACAAGTCTCATAATCTTCCCTCTCTTCTAGTCTGCTGTGGGACTGTCACATTTCTTCATCCAGAAATATCACAATGGTATCTTTCTTCTAAAAGGCTTTTTGTTTTGTCTTTCCTACTCAAATGGCAGGCCACCATAGAAGAATATAAGGAAGATTTCATGCAACAGAATGAAGCAGCATCTTGCAGTTATTGCCTGGATACACTGGAGAAGCTTTCAGAGTCCCTGAGGGAGAGCATCTCATGTGGAGATTTCTCTGTTCCTGATGGGCACAGACTCTACTTAGAGGCCAGAAAGAAAGTTGAACAGGACTATGAGCGAGTTCCCAGGAAGGGAGTGAAGGTGAGGAATGAGGGCAGGTATGGTCACACAGCATGAGTACCACAAGAGCAGTAACTGCTGCTCCTGGAATCTAAGAATGTTCTCTGGAAAGAAATCAGAATAACTTTTATCTTGGCCATTCTAGTCTTTACAGCCACAAAATACTGCATGAATTAATAAATATTCATTTTTCTCAGAAAAGATCTATAACATAAATCCAAATGTAAAAGAAAATTAATTATGAATAATTGAGGAGCAGCCTCCAGCCAGTACCCAGGATACACAAAAACATCCACAAATCTGGTAAGGACTCAGGAAAAATTCTTACCTATCTGAGGGCTAGACTTCTTCTATCTGAGGAGAAAAAAAATAAGGAAACATATACGTTTTCTGATGGTAGGTTTCTCTTTTATTTTATCTTTAAAATGTTCCCTGAGAATCTCTCTGTCTCCACACAGCTATTCTTTACATATGGGTATATATCTCTCTTTACATACATACATCTGCTTCTTCTTCATCTCTCACACAGCACACACATGCACACACAACACAACACACACTTCACTCACATTCTGCACAGCTCTTTTTTCAGCAATTCTTTATATAGCTCAACACAACTTCCTTTGTACACTACCAATGCTCCTCTCACAGCCAAACTCTGGAAAGCATATTTTACACTTTTAGGTCCTAACCTATTCTCATAACACAAGATAAGTCACAGTTTTCTTAGGCTAGGGATGTCACATTGACTGGCCAGTGAGTGACACTTGGTCATGCACATAACCTAAATGGTTAGGGCTCCCAGACAGGAAAAGACATTGAAGTTCAAGACTTAAAAACAGTAAGTTAACGGAACCTTGAGTGGTAGGGGATATGTGCAGAAAAAGTCCATTGTTTTGTGAGGTTTATGTCTAGCAAAGTTACCTGGTTTCTGACTTTGTTTCAGTAATAAGCAACACCTGGGAGTTTGTCCTTGTGTATTCAACTCCAGGGACAGCCACTTTATTTTGAGTATGTTCTGCAGTCCAAAATTAGATGTCTTTGTGACTGAAGAAACTTACTTTTCTATGTCAGTCTGAATAATTAAAAATATCCTAGTATTATTTCTACTCATCAAAATTATACAGATTAATCAGAAATCATCTTCTGTCCATTTACAGTTATATGTGTGCCCAAAAGATAGAATATTTACATCAGACAAACAGACAAGCAGTGAGCAAAATACCCATAGCAGTTCTTGGGGAAGAAATAAAGTGACACACGAGAGAAATACAGACAGGAGCAGCTGGTCATTCACAGTCAGCAACCTCATCGCCTTTCCAGGTAGGGCTCCCCACCAGAGAGCCGTTTGTCTGATAGGTCAACCTGTGAACACTAATTGTCATCTGCTGTATACCCCTACAGCCCTCTATAATTAACTTATTTTATAATGTGATATTTGTTTCTCGGTTTTGAATTTTTAATTACCTTTTATTTAAAACTCTTCTGAATGATAAATGTCTTCCTTTATGATAAAAAAACACAGACATGGCAACTTACTATAAAACAAAATATACTTCTGATAGCCATTATTTTTCTGCTTTGGACAGCTTATTGTTTTTCTTTTGTCACAAAAAATGAAAATGTACCTATAGAAAGGCTCAATATAAGCTATCTTTAGAAATAAAAAGACATTAATTCACAAAAGTCTATGAATAGAACATGTGACTAGCTCATAAAAATATAATAGGTTAGTTAAAATATTCACAACTAATAGCACATCTGAAGTGTTCTTGTATGAAATATCACATGAGGAAAAGAATTCATCAATGTCTAAGAAAGTGGGTTTGTTCATAGTCAATCTGATAAGTTACAATAAGAAGTGATTGCTGAGATATAAGGAACTTGGATATTATTCTTCTAGAACCCTTTTAGTTCAAGTCTTTCACTCAATAACATAGCTGAGGATCTGAAACAAAGTATATTTGAGTACAAAGCACTCGTGAAACTTAATACTTTTTTCTTTTTGTTCTTCGTTTCCCTTCTTTGTTTTGGTTTGTGTCATCATCAGAGGGTTTTCCTAAACTTACAAACAACTTGCCTGCTCAGCGGTGAGCAGGAATTTCTAAGTACAGGAGCTTTTACTTCTTCAGTCCTGTGTGTGTGTATGTCTGCATAGGCAACTAATGTATCCTCATTTTTTCAGAATTTAATCTTCCTATTAGCAAAAAGGGATACCAACTACTATATGCCAAAGAGATTAGTCTTGGTGGGAATTCCCTTTCAATTTTTTAAAAAGTTTTGATATTCAGAGCTTTTATTATAATAGTAGGTTACTCAGACACGCTATGGTCAAGGGACTGTTAAAAAGAAAGCACAATTTATTCTTTGTGACTTGATGCATAGACGAAATATTTAACATGCAATAACAGAAGCTGATCATTTATAAATCACATCCTGACATAGACAAATAGAATTTGTTTGATAAGTTGGGACTAGCTATCATATTTAAATGACTTTAATGAACCTAGCCGTATCAAAAACAAGTATTGAGTACTTGTTTTCTAAATTGAGTTAGTGTTATTTTTCTCATTGAAATATCAGTTTAATATCAGGCCAGAAGGATGTAGTTTTTAACAGCATCTCCATTGTACAGTTGAGGGGTATACTAAATAGAGAAACTCCCACAGATTTGCAAAAGTAGAAGAACAACTTAATTCAGAGTGAAGAAATCATACAGATAAGAGAGGAGTCATATAAGTGAGGATATTCAAATGACTCAATTTCCACTCTTTGAGTGTACACAGTACACAAAGGGCCACTTTTATTTAAAAGTGGATTTAAAAGATGGCAGAGGCAGTTACTGTGGTCATAGTTTCAGTTGTTCTCTATATTGGAGGATAGATTAGGTCATACATTCAATTTCCCTATGCACATGCCTTTTCTCTCAGATAGTGCATTTGATTTTAATCATGTGAATGTTCAGTTGTGCATAGGCATGAAATGCTAAGTATAAATATTTTTGTAAAATTTTACTTCAATGACAAAGTTTGCTTATAGCACTGTGCATGCACTGAAAGCAACTTGAGACCAGATCTATTCTATAGGATGTATATCTGAATAAAACCTGCCTTGACTTGATTTAGGGATGGATATACTTATGCTATTGCTCACAGAGGAATGTATGTGTAGCCAGTACAGGGTTGCAACAGGAGTGTCTGAGGTGTTAGGAGTGTTGTGTGGAGAGGGGTATGTGTGCATAGTACCCACAAGTAATGGAACAAGGCTGGCAAGTGCATCATTGCAAGAAGGGGAGGGATGTATACCCTAAACCAGTTAAGGTCACAGACTCTTAATTTTTTTCCCTAGGCCTGCCTGCCTCATATGTATGTGTGGAACTGCACACAAATCTGGCTGGGGTTATTAACTGGAGTGGCTAGTGGGTGACATTCCTGGAAAACAAGGCTGGAGAGCTAGCAGGGGGCTATAACGGAGGGCTTCTTGATCTCAGCAATGAGCATAGACTTTTTGCAACCACAGAATTAAAGGGCCCATGGGAACTAAAGCAGAATTCAAATATTGCAGTCAGGTTAGTAATCTCATTGAATGATAACTCTTTCATCCTAAGAATACATCTTGCCACCTAACATTTTCTCTATTTTGATACACAGGCAACTGAGGTGTTCCAGGACTTTCTGAAGTCACAGATAACTATAGAAGATTCCATCTTGCAGTCAGATAAAACCCTCACTGATAGAGAGGGAGCCATGGCAGGTACAGAGATGGGCTCATCTCTCAAAGAGTTCCTGTAAAACCTTCTGATGTATGAACAGAAATATAACCCCACACACACACAAACAAGAATATCTCTTCTGTATCTTCTTCCCTATCTGAAACCATAATTGGGACTGGTGTTGCATGGCTAGCCTGGCAGTACTTTTCCATCATGTATGGAATCAGTGCCTACTGATAGGAAGATGCAGAGGGTTCCTATGGGGAAATAAGCTGGGTGTCTGAAATCGGGAGGGGGGTAGCTCTCAGTTCTGATTATCCTTACTTCCTTCTGCAAAACCCTTGTGTGACAGCTGGGCAGACCAAAAAGGAGGTGGATGAGAAGGAACTGGAGCTAAAGAAGCAGCAACAGAAAAATGAAAAGCAAGTGACAGAGGCTCAAATGAAAACTTTGTTAGAAAACATGGCCCAGCTGCAGAAGAAGTTGGAGAGGGATGTGGAGAACCTTCGGAGAGAGAAGAATCACGAACTGAAGGTGAGGATAGATGGGGATGGAAGTACCTGGAAGATGATGACTCCGTAGGAAGGAGAAGTGTAACATTGTCAAGGAAATCATGATTCCAAAGAGAACCCCAATGACATGTGACCATGAAAAGCCCAAATCCACCTAGATCCTGGTGAAGCCATTGATTCTAAAAATGCATCACCTTCTATAGCATTAGAAATCTAAAGAGTGATAAGAAAAAAATCCACAGGTGATTCTCTTGTATGTTTTAGAATAGTTTCATTTTAATCCAAATGACAATACCTCAATGCACCACCACTCCTAAGAATTCTTGCAGAACTGTCCAGGATACCCGCTTGAAATTATTGGATTACTCAGCATAAGAACTTGAAGCTCTGAGCCCAGCAGTGTCTATTTCCAGATCTGGTTGGTGTATTCTACAGAACTAGAGTAAAATGCGGTCTTTCTCCCCACCCAGAGCTTGACAGCTCTGCTTTGAGGTCAGCAGTTAGTTATCATCATGTGTTACACAGATGGGGTCAGCTTAGCTCAATGATACTGAGATTGAATGATAGTTAAAGCCACAAACCTCCAAAATGGCATTGTGCTTTACCCCATAGTTCTCAGGGCTATCCTAGTGCCAAGTGTCCTTCATCCCAGAAAGAGAATTGCAAGCAAATATCAGCCATTGCTACTTTCACTCTTCAGCTCAAAAGTGTGAGGTTCTGAACAAACTTGTCAAATACTAATTTTTGTAAACGAAGGAAACATGTACAATAAACTTATCTGCTGATGTTGTTAATTATGAAATACTACTAATTTGTATTCTTAAAAGTTGATTCTCTTTTTGGTAGGTACTAAAAGAACTACTTCACGAAGACATTGGGAAGCAATATTATTACTTAAGAAGGGAAAAAGAGCAAAGAGAAAAAGAGATTGATATCTGTGACGAGATTATTAAATTTGGTCTTTCTGTACTGCATGACACACTGGTGAATGTATTTACTTCAACTTTTAACAGCTGAAAAAAGCAACGGAAGGCATAGTGACTCATGTTTTTAGTGTGTATGTCAATATATCCATTCAAGGGCAGTTTTAAGTTAAGGGTTATCAAAGAATGTCAGATACTGACAGCTAAGGAAGCCTGTCTAAGTAATCTCTTCATAAAAAAGCTAACTATACAGTAAGAGATGTTCATAAGCCTCACTATGATGATTATTTTACAATACATATGTACATCAGTTATGGAACTGTAAACTTTACATGCATACAATAAAAGCAAATGTCCAGCATACTGTGTAGTCATCTCATGAAAACCACTACCATCTGATACCAAGATTGAGCACCTGACAGCAGCTTACCAGTGACATCTCTGAACAGTGGACAACTCATTTGCCCTAGCACTCACCAGAGAGAAGTTGCAGTTTGACTTATTCACATCCCCATTGATATTTCAGAGATGTAGATCTACTGACAGTTGAAATATCTCCACAGAATAGTTCAGAAAATCATCATGAGAGAAATATTCCATTTACAAATTGGAGTGTGTGTGTGTGTGTGTGTGTGTGTGTGTGTGTGTGCGTGCGCACACACGTGGAGAGAGAGAGGGAGGGAGAAGAATTTACTTGTCTATTGTGTTGGTATATTTTGTTAATTTCACAAAACTGTAGACATATTTTGGAAAATGGAATCTTCCTTGAGAAAATGACTCACTAAGATTGGCCTGATCTGTGGGCTAATCTGTGAGGTTATTGTGTTGGCTGAATGATGAATGATGTGGATGGGCCCAGCCCATTGTGAGTGATGCCACCCCTGGGCAGATGGTCCTGAATGGCATCAGGAAGCAAACTGAGCAAGCCATGATAAAGTTAGACTGTAAGCAGCACTCCTCCATAGCCTCTGCATCAGCTCCTGCCTGGGGGTTTCAGCCTTGCGCTCCTGCCCAGACTTCATTAAGGGAGTGTGACCTAAGAGTTGTCACATGATATAAACCCTTTCCTTCCCCACACCAATAGAAGTCCTAACACAGATGCCTCCTTTTCTCTGCCCTGGGACTTCCATGCTACCTTTTAGATCCTCTTCAGAACAGTTTGAACTCTAGAGTTTATGTTCTCAGTTCTTCACACATGTTTTAATCACTCCACTGGCTTTCTTGGTTTCTTGGGTTTAAAATGGCCTATCTTCTCCACCACTTGCATGGTTGATTTGAGACCTTTGCTGTTTGTGAGCAGGTCTGCGCTCTCTCGTTCATCTTCTGACATCTTATCATACATTCTCCTTGTCTCACTAAGTCCTTTCTTTTCCCTTTCTAGTAACTACACTTCTCTCACCATTGCAGTGTTGAGTGTCCCAGGAATCAGCCCCTTTCAAACACCCGTAGGTGTCGTTACATCAAATATCAATGACAGACCTCATCCTATCAATGGTTTCGTATTTAGTACAGTGTTAGTGGAACATTCTTCTCAACATGGAGTAAGTGTGGTGTATGCTGGTTCTCCTTGGATGCTCCTTATGAAATAAGCAATGGAATTTCATTTTTAAAAGCAAGTTCCTGTCTTGCTCTAACAAAAGGAGCATATTTTCCAGAAGTGGAAAATTCTTACTCTTTTTACCGGAGTCATTCTTTTATGCTTTCACTTTCTGGATGCTTGTGAGCAAAAGATGAAGGACTTTACATTTCCAGCAATCTTTAGTTGACCTGCATGGATTTTCAGCCCTTATTATCTAAAGCCTTTTTTTTTGCTTATCTATAATGGCAGACATAAAAAAATATGCACAAACCCCCTTGTCTCTTCAGCTTGCATTAGTGTTTGTATATTTAATGTAGAGACCTGAAACAATTCTACTTTGTCCAAGTTGGCTCAGAAAAGCCAAAAAGTTGGAAACTGAAAAGGATTTTTTTTTCTTAGCTGGAAAGCCTTTGTACAAGCGCCTTTTAAACACAATGCCTGGAAGTAATGGGGACCACCCACCCTAAGACCTGTAACACCCTCTTTTCTCTGCTATTTCCTCGAGCTTTGTGCAAGACCATTTATCCTTTATACCACTGAAATCGTGACTAACCCTTTATTTTTTTATACCACTGAAAACTGGTGAATGGACGTGTGGTTTGGGAATAGGTGAAAGGTCCTGTTGTGAGTCTTTCTAAACAGCTTCATATCACAGTTAGGTGACAGCAACTTTGAATATGTGTCCTAGAAACAGCTTCCTCATTGCCACAGGAGGTCGCTAAACTCACTTTTGACCTCTTTCTGTGTGTCCTACCGCACCATTTCAAAGATCCCTTTTCACACAAAAGCCTCTACTTTTCCCCCTTTAAGCTTCAACTTTTCCACATCACCTTCTTAGGAAATCCTGGTATCTCACCTGATTCTTGCCCTCCTCTCAACCCTGTCACACTCCTCCCCAAGGTCACTACCCTCACTCATTCCTGCCTAAAATCCCTTGCCTACAAAACTCCACAATTTACTATTGCCCCCTGCCACAACCTGCCTGTCCTTGGATCATGTATGGAAACTCATCTCTTAGCTCCACTGGTTCCTGTCAAGTGGGCTGTACCTTCTCCTCTGACTAACTTACAGAGTCTGTCCCTTTACCACCAGGCACCACTTCACAGAAGACAGAGCCATTGCTAGAGCTGTCACCTTAGCACAGGTCGAAACCCTCAATGCAAAAACACATCCTAAATATACATTCCACATCCAACATCAGCATGCTTCCGTTTGGTAAGACAGGGGATTTCTCACCACCAAAGGCACATCTTTTACCAATAGGCCTCTAATCCTGAAGTTTCTGTAAACCTCTTACTTCCCCAAGCAAGCAGTAGTTATACTCTGCCATATCCCAGTCCTCTACTACTAATATACCTTCAGAAAATGCTTTTGCCGACAAGACTGCTGAAGAGGCCAGCCAACACCCCCAATATCCTTCCTCTATCCTCTTCTTGACTCCTCCAAGCCTGATTCTTCCATATTCTAAGACTCAAAGGCCAAGCACACCCCCCATGCAGGCTATAGAAGCAGTTATAGGCCCCCAGGACTGGCTTCTTCTACAGAACAGGGACTGTCTCCCTGATACCCAGGTAAAACCCCTATTGACAGCTATTCACAAGTCCTTTCACACTAGGTCAAGACATCTGTATAATTTCCCCCAACATCTTATTACCACCCCAGCCTTTCTGCCCTTCTTAGGGCTATTACCCAAGGATGCTTTACTCTCACTCAAACCTCCCCACAGATGGCCGTGTGACTTGCTCCTTCCTTCAATCCACATTAAGCACACCATTTGTCAAATCACAATTATCTTAAATCTGTTCTACTCACAAGACAAGAAAAGGTTTCTGTGATGGGTGAGAGTCCAATTGCAATGCTGCTTTTAAGTATTTGTCCCAGTCTCTGAGCAGTAGCAAAAACCCTTAGACTATCCTCCTCATCTCTGAAGAGGACCTATAGTTTTTCCTTGTGATGAGTCTTTTTTCATCCAAGAGGGGAAAATTGAAGTCTCAGTTCTCGGGTCCTTTATTTCAACAGCTGATTGAATATCATATTGGCAAAGTGAGTTCTGTGTCCTAAGATATAGTATGGATAAATATTATATTGAATGTTAAATATTCAGTCAATGTCTTTGGACTGGCTATAAGTAAACAAGACACACCATGGTCTGGAAGTTTGTGCAGTAGGTCCACCAGGAAACTAGGACTCACCAGTCATCACCACAATCTCCCTTCCCCTCTCAGGCTGCAGCATGATGTTGCGAGTCAGGAACACTGATTCAGGAATCCTTTTCTGTTTCTTCTACGGAGTCACCAGTGGCTGCAATGTCATCAGGGCTGGCATCCTTCTGCTGTACACATTGTCATCTCATCAAGCTAATTTTTTATATTTTTATTTATTTATTTTATTTTTTTATTTTCCTGTGAGGAAAGCACAGACATGACCTCGACCCCAAATTAATACAGCGTCGGGTCCTTTCCATAATCCAATGCAAGGGTCTTTCCACCTTGCTTTAGCAAAGATCGCTTTGGTGCTATCATGCCAAAATCTATCTGTGGCACACTACTCGTGGGCATCGACATTCAAGAAGTTTAGGGTAAAAAGGCTTGATTAAAGGCAGTATGTGGTGACTGAGGATATAATCCTCCTAAATTATTTGTTTTTTGAAGTCACATAGTATGGGCACGCTAATTGCATGCCTTCTTAGAGACTGCATTTTGTTTGTCAGCTTTTGTGAGCTGCTTGAGGAAATTACAATCATTGCCCCCTTAATAATCTCAACGAATGGCTTAGATCCCCTGTGAACAACAATAAATAGGACTATAGCCGTTGGATATTGGTGTGGGAGAATTATCTGTATTCTGTCAATCATGTATTTTAATAAAACGCTGATTGGCCAGGCAGGAAGTATAGGTGGGAAAACCAGACAGGAAGTAGAGGTGATGCAATGAGAACAGGAGAATTCTGGGAAGCAGGAAGCTTCCTCTGCCATTCCTACGCAGACCACCAAAGAGGCAACTTGTGAGCTGACAGCTGAAAAAGGTACTGAGCCGTGTGGCTAACATAGATAATGATAATGGATTAATATAAGTTACAAGGACTAATAAGAAGCCTGACCTAATGGGCCAATCAGCTTTATAACTTATAGAGATCTCTGTGTGATTGATTTTCTTTGGGGTTTGTTGACTTGTTGGGGTGCCGGGCGGGACAGAAACCCCAACAAGCAGGCCCCCTCATGCTACAGGATATTTTATCAAAAGTTTGTGGTTTACAAGCTATCTTTCTAATCTAAGCTGAAAGTTTGCCTAACTGACAGTCTTTAACTTGTTCATTTACATTTTCACAGACACCTGTCTGGGCCTGGAGCTGCAGTCTTTTCAAGGCTACAATTTTGTAGCTTGAGTGTCAGGCTGGGAACTGGTTTCTGTTTGGCTCGGCTAGTAGCTAGTAGCTCGGCTGGGAGCAGGGCAGGGTGGAAATGGCTCTCTGACACTTGGCAGTCACACCTGGGTGCTTGGGACCAGGAGGTGGTAGTCTGTCATTGCCTGCTGTGTCTGGGCACAGGCTATGTTTTTTATGCTTAGCATTCCCATCAGAGGCCAGTGTTAGAGGTGGCTGGCAAATTTACAGGCTCCCAGGTGTCCACCATTACAGCAGCTTCAAGACTATTGCCTCCACAAGCTTAGGTTATTTTAAATCTTGTAATCACAAAATTATGGGAATTCCTGTATCAAGCCATGCTTCTTCTAGCCATTTCCTGCTGACCAGCTTGGGGTGATGACTGTGG